CTGTATTAATCAAGTATTCCCCTTGATTGTTGTCGAGCTTCTACCCTTATATTTTTCGAGTCTTCTCCTAGGTGTGAGATTACCCGTCAATTCCGCCGTATCCTTTACTTTTTGAGTTATTGAGAGAAAATACCATAAAACCCTAAAAAGATTGTGATTGCACGACTTTGATCAAAAGAATCTAACCTTTCACGAGCTCGGGATCTTATCAGTAGTATTACTAAATTGGCATTTATTACTCAATCCAAATTCAACAAAACGAACAGCGCCTAAAATAACTAATCCTCCTTCAAAATTACTTGATCCCAGGGCGCGCTCCTAATTTCTCGGAGAGGCGATTGCTAGGCGAGTTGAGGTTAGGGTTTCGCACGCATGTCGGCGGACGTAGTGCCGCCGGCCGGAGGGAGGAGCTCGTCTCCCCCGCCACCTGAGGCAGTCGCAGGCCAGCGCAGGCCACCACTGGCGTCTTCTTCTCCGAACCCTAAAGGGGATCGAGAGTCGCAGCACACAAAAAAGAGGGCAAAACCAACAGCCCCGATTAACCATGGGATACCAGAGGGAGTGAACAGCCGGGAGGGAGAAACGAATCGGAGATCACCATCGCCCAGTCCCAGGCCGAACGTCTGGTCGCAAGGGACGGGGGCAGCCCGCAGGCTATTCGGAGGCGAAGGACGTATGGACGAGTGGTTTACAGCTGACTCGGACAGCGAGGATACCGCAGCAGCGATGCGTCAAGACGGATTGGACGAGGGCTTCGAGGGTGAGGAAGACCCCTTGTGTCCTGCGATATATTCCACGGCGGCGGAAGAACGAACGTACTGCCGCAAATTCCGGTCAACTCTTGTCGTCAAAGCTTTGGGGCGATCAATATCATACACAGCAATCTCTCTCCGACTGAACACAATATGGGCTAAGGCAGGAGGGATACAAGTCACATCCATGAAGAACAACTACTTCCTGGTCCGGTTCACCAGCGGTCTAGACTATGACAGGGCGATCACGAATGGCCCATGGATGATTGGTCAGAACTACCTCTCAGTGCACATGTGGGATCGTGATTTCGATCCGTACAACCACGAAATCTCATCGACATTGGTCTGGGCCCGGTTACTCGACATCCCCATACAGTACTTCCACGAGGATGCTGTGATGCGAATTGGTCGTCGCATCGGGAAACCGGTTCGGATTGATGAAGCTACACGCACTGCCGCTCGCAGTGACTACGCCCGGGTTTGCGTGCAGGTAGACCTCACGAAGCCCTTGCTGTCAAAATTTTCAATCAAGGGCAAAAGGTACTTCATCCAGTACGAAGGGTTAGAGAAAATATGCCTGAAGTGCGGGACATATACCGAACGCGGTGCATGCCACTGTAGCCAGACGCAGGCACCTATGGAAGCTGAAAATGTGGAGCCGGAGCCCAACTCCCCGCCATCGCAACATGAGAAGATCTATGGGGAGTGGATGATCGCTAAACGTAAACCTCGCCCTGCCAAAAAAGAAGGAGGATCAACCTCGAACCGGGGAGGATCGCCTGTCGAGGAAGTGCATCAGCGGGGAGGGGGCTCGCGTTTTGCGGTGTTGGACGAGGAACCTGACGTGAATATGGAACCAACTGAGGTCGCAAACGAGACGAGTGACCCAAGCAAGACCCAACCGCAGCGTACCCAAAGCCGGGACAAGCAAACTAAGGTGCATGAACACGAAAAAAGTGGCCCGGATGGCAGGGTCCCATCCAGTGTTGCGGCTGACCCAAACCCGACACCTATGCAAACTGAGGGGAATGCTAATAACTCGTGCTTGGCCAAACCCATTCAGACCGACCATGAAATGCAGGATACCATTGTCCGGAGGGAGGACGTAGCTGTGGAGGAGCAGCCCATGCAAGGTGGCGGGGAGTCAACGGAGACCCAGGTCCGGCCTAACACTGAGAGGAAGGGCCGACCACCCGATACTGGTTCCGGCAGCAACTCTACGAGCTCGGGACCTCCGGAAGTGATCATGAAGACAAGAGCTTCGGGGAAACAAATTGGCGGGAGCGACCCGCCCAATGCGTAACTCAAGGGAGTCTCTTTCCAACCCTCTTTTTTATGGATTACAAAATTTTTTCATGGAATTGTAGGGGAGCTGGGGGTAAGGGTTTTTTACGTGCTTTCCGCGAGTACCGTAGGAAATTCAAGCCCCATATTGTGATTATTTTGGAACCTAGGATCAGTGGGGACCGAGCCTTGAAAGTCATTCGAGAAATGGGTTATGACAAAGAACTGGTAGTTGATGCTATTGGTTTTTCGGGGGGAATTTGGGTCAGTTGGAATTCGAGTGATCTCACCATCACCATAGTTCATACTCACCAACAGTGCCTTCATATGCAGGTACAGGGACGTATGCAGCAAGATATCGCGTGGCAGCTCTCGGCAGTCTATGGATGTCCTGCCCCGGTTCAACGGCGAGGGTTATGGGATCTCTTAAGGTCTATTGCGGATGGGATGACCCAGCCCTGGCTCTTGGTGGGCGACTTCAATTCCATCATTAGCTCATCCGAGAAGCTAGGGGGGGCCCCTTTCGATGCTTCCCGAATTCGCGATTTCCAGGATACAGTGCAGGATACCGAGCTGGTGGATTTGGGTTTCGTTGGCCCGGCGTATACTTGGTTTAAAACGGGGCTCCGTGAACGGCTGGACCGGGGTTTGGGGAATGTTGCCTGGATCGAAACTTTCCCAGAAACAGTGGTCCGCCATCTCCCGCGCATGAATAAGTCGGATCATAGGCCCCTTCTCGTTTCGCTTAGGGAGCTTCACGATCCTGCCGGACCCAAACCATTCAGGTTTCTGGCAGCTTGGTTCACTCACGATGCCTTCTGGGAGATGATGGAAGAAGCATGGGCGAAGGGTACCTCTTTCACATCCTCGGCCGAGGCCTTCGCCCGAGATGCAAGAGCTTGGAACAGGAATGTCTTTGGCCATGTTACAAGAAGAAAAGACAAACTACTTCGACGGATTGAAGAGCTCGAGCAGAGTGGTAATGGGATAGGGATCTCAGCCCAGCTGTGCCAAGCCCAGGAGGAACTCGAGCTGGTACTTTTTCAAGAAGAGTTGCTCTGGTGCCAGAAATCCCGGCTCGAGTGGATTAGCTCGGGTGACAAGAACACGGCCTATTTCCATTCCAGGACCCTCAGAAGAAGAACCAGGAATCGGGTGAATATGTTGAAGGACGACGGAGGTGTGTGGATCGAAGAGCAGGCTGTGCTTTTGGAAATGGCTCGGGCCTTCTTCAGCCAGCTGTACACGGACGAGGGGGGGGATCTACCTGCCCTAGAGGGAAGTTTTCCGGAAATTGAACCTGCTCGATGGCAGCCTCTAGCAGCTACGCCAAACTTGGAAGAAATTCGGGGCGCAGTCCAGGCTATGGGCGCACTTAAGGCACCGGGGAAGGATGGACTAAACCCAATCTTTTTCCAGAAGTGTTGGGGAACGGTTGGCCAGTCACTCACGACGTTCGCCCTCGACTGCTGGGAAAACCCAGGGAAAATTAAAGAAGTGAACTCTACTATCCTAGTGCTTATCCCGAAGGTGCAGCAACCTATCACCATCGATCAATTCCGGCCCATTAGCTTATGCAATGTGGCCTACAAAGCAGTGACAAAGTGCCTGGCAGAGCGACTGAAGGCTTTAATGCCAGACCTAGTCCATGAGACCCAGACTAGCTTTGTCCCTGGACGCCATATCACTGACAACATATGTATCCTGCAGGAGGTCATACACTCGATGAGGGCTCGAAAAGGTAGGAGGGGTTGGATGGTTCTGAAGGTAGATTTAGCGAAGGCCTATGACCGGATACGGTGGGGATTTGTTAGAGATACCTTGATTGCCGCAGGGGCCCCTAGCAATTTTGTTGACTTGACCATGGCGTGTATTTCATCAGCTTCGATGCAAATCCAGTGGAATGGAGGCTTAACAGAGCAGTTTCAGCCTTCCAGAGGCCTCCGGCAGGGGTGCCCTCTCTCCCCATACCTGTTCACACTCTGCATGGAAAGACTTGGGCATATTATAGATGAAACGGTGCGAGGGGGCAGATGGAAACCGATTCAGTTATCGCAAGCCGGCCCAGCGCTCTCCCATCTTTTTTTCGCGGACGATCTGATCTTGTTTGGGGAGGCGACCAGGGATCAGGCGCAGGTGATCAACGACTGTTTTGAGCTATTCGGAGCTTCATCGGGACAGCAGGTTAGCAGGCCAAAGTCACGGGTGTTCTTTTCGGATAATACCACTACTGAATGCAGGAACATGTTGAGTGCTGAGCTGGGAATCCCGATTACCTCGAATTTGGGGAGATATCTGGGCGTACCGGTCATTCACGACCGGGTCTCGAAGGCTACATTCCAACAGCTGATCGACAGGATAGATTCCCGACTAGCAGGGTGGAAAGCTTCCTCGCTGTCTCTTGCCGGGCGGATCACTCTGGCTCAGTCAGTCTTGGCCTCTCTTCCGGCGTATACAATGCAGACGACATTCCTGCCCGCTAGTGTGAGGGAGTATATCGATAGAAAGATCAGAGCTTTTATCTGGGGCAGCACTGACCAGGGCCGTAAAATCCACCTCGTTGACTGGGAAACCCTCTGTAGACCGAAAGATGAGGGGGGACTGGGGCTGCGGGATTCTACAAGAACGAACGAAGCTTATATGTTGAAAATCGCTTGGAGGTTGCTCACTAAACCGGACGATCTTTGGGCCAGGGTCATTCTCGCGAAGTATTCGAGGAGCACGGCAGAGGGGAGGCGATTTGTGACAAACGGCCGCCTCTCGAACCTTTGGAGAGGAGTTTTGAGGGTGGCTCATCTCTCGGAGATTGCGACGGCGTGGAACGTGCGTAATGGTCTCACGGCCAAGTTTTGGAGTGATCGGTGGTTGAATGACACCACTATCCTCAAGGATCATGTGCAGAATCTTCCTCCGGAGCTGCTCAACATGCCGGTCGCTGACTTCGTGCTAAACGGTAAGTGGAACATGGATTTTCTTAACTTTTACTTACCCCAGCCGCTCGCTTTGCAGGTCTCGCTACATCCTGTCCCGACGGGAACGGAAGACGACGTGAGGACCTGGCGGTTCACTCCCAATGGCGAGTTCACCCTGCGTACGGCCTACGAGCTGACGGATTCCACGGCGGACCAGAATCTGAGCCAACCCATCTGGAAATCGGTGTGGCGGGCGCCGACGCTGCAAAGAATTCGAGCTTTCCTTTGGCTCTTGAACCACAACCGGCTGCTGACGAATGCGGAGAGAGGAAGGAGGCACCTCACGACGACCACCGACTGTAAAATCTGTGGAGATGGCCCGGAAACGACGTTGCATGTCCTCCGGGATTGTCCATACGCGCGGGCGACCTGGGCGGATCTACTGGGAGAGGAGCCCGACTCCAGTTTCTTCGAGCAAGATATACACAGGTGGTCCTTGTACTACATCTCTGATAAGAGCGATACCATTGATAGCACTCTTTTTGCAGGGACTTGTTGGCTACTGTGGAAGAACCGGAATGGTTACGTGTTCCGAGGGGAGCTGAAAACCCATGCACAAATCCAGTTCCATGCAAAACAGCTCCGCGACCAAACCATCCAAGCACTGGAGAAGGAGAATGTGATTTTTGGAGGAGGGGGACTCCGGGAACAGCGCCAAATTGGCTGGCAACCACCGGCGCAGGACTGGGTCTGTGTCAATACAGATGGCTCAGTCACCATTTCTCCAGAGGGCACGAGCTGCGGCGGCATCATACGGGGGAGTGATGGCCGCTTTCTTAAGGCATTCACTGCGAACCTTGGCGGGGGTTCGATCACTCGCGCGGAGCTGGCTGGTATTGTGTATGGGTTGGATCTCGCCTGGGAACAGGGAGCCAGGAAGGTAATTCTACAGACTGACTCGTCCACTGCAAAGAACCTGATAGACAAGGCGACACCGAGGCACTCTCACTTCACACAGGTCGCGGAGATCCGACAGAGACTGAATCGTGATTGGACAGTTCGGATTGAGCATGTGTTCCGCGAAGCTAATTTCGCCGCGGATTATTTGGCTTCTTTGGGCCACTCCCGTTCGATTGGTGTTCATACTTTAGATAGACCGGATACTAAACTCCTGTACTGGCTGTTCTTTGATCGTGTGGGGGGTGTAACACCCCGCTTTGTTCGTTCTTAATAAAGGTTAGGGCGCCCTTAGCGCCCTGTTCTTACCAAAAAAAAAAATTACTTGATCCCATCCTCTCCAAAAAGCATTGTCGACGTCTTTCTCCCCCTGCACTCCGACACCATTCCTTGACTCAGGAGGTTTGTTGTTGAACCTCCAAGAATTGGAATGATCTGCCAATGTTCCTCTCCTAAAACCATACTTATTTAGACAACAGAAACATTTAAATGAATATGCTATTTCCGCTTTCTTCGTACAAAGAGGGAATAAGGAACCCTTCATTCTTTTACTTGTTGTCAAACCCCAAATACCGACCATCTTCCCTCTTACTCTCTAGTCGAACTTGATGGATCGATTAACGTGACAGACAAAAAGCAGGACAACACGGAAACCCACAGTTCCGGGCATGAGAAAGAAACAATAACAAATGCAGGCCATGTAACCAAAGAGGAATGATGTTTGCATAAAGTCACAAATTGGAGATGAAGGCCACCGAGAAGAAGTAAAGTTGGCTAGGGATTCCATCGAGAAACAAAGGGCAGTATGGAATCATGAAATTCACCCTTGTTTCCGAAAGAGAGTTGGGAGAATTGTAAAGGAAATCTATTTTATTGTCGAGTTAGTTTTCTTCAAAAAAATTATTTTTTACCAATAAAAAAATGATAAAGAGGTTCATTTTCATTTTAAATTTAGGACCATTATAGTAAAATTAGAGCGACGATTAGCAACAATCTCACCTAAAACAATGAGATATAAGTTAATTTTATAGAATTTAGCATTCCGGTTGAACCACCGAAATTTTTTATTTTCACTAGAACATCTTATCATTGACATTCTAACTGGTTTCATGACCGGTACTGATTAAATCAGATTCAACTGGCCGACGTATAATCGATAAAGTTGTTATGCTTAGATAAAAAAAATTAATATTATTTAATTAAGCAGCATTAATTAGATTGATTCTCGGATAACAATAACTAGTTAAATAATATTCTCTCACTTGCTCGCTCGCTCCCTCACTACATTAGAATCAAATCAGCCAAATCATTAATCAAAGACGTGTTGAGCTGTTCACAATCTCTCTCTCTTTTTCCCATTAATACCTTTTGTACTATTACCGTTTTTTTATAAGCTACTATTACCATTATTATATTTTCCTTTTACATTTCCATTTTGCAAGCCGAAAACTGAATGTGACCATTTTGGTGCTCTTTCTCTCTCTGCCCCCTTCTTCTTCTTCTTCTTCTTCCACCTCCTGTTTTCTCCGCCTCATAAATTCTCTTTTGTTTCATTATTTTCCTCCCTGTAATTGTACCCTTATTTTTAATTATTTCAAAAACATTTTGAGTTTTGTTTTTATTTTCATCACCAGTTTGTCTCTCTCTCACACTCACAAGAATAGTATTGGGGTATAAATCTTCATCTTCCCCGTTGTACCATGATTGAGAAGCCCAAAGGCGGAAGAGAGCAGAGCAGAAACAACAGCTCGGTCTTGGTGAAATCCAAGAACCCGCCCCTCCCGCTCCGGCACGACCGTCGGAGAGGCGCATTTGGAGTTTCACCCTTTTCAATTCTCCCATTCTCTCCAATTTTGCCTCTTATCTCTGTTTATCCCCATTCTCCTATTGACAATGGGATCAGAGTTCTACCGCAGAATCCCCCACCCCATCTCCCATTTTTCTTCTTCTCCTTAATCAAATCTGGTGGGGGGTTCTGGGTTGTTTGCTTCTTCTTTTGGTTTGGGGGGCATTTCTGCTTGTATCCTTTTTTTCTCAACTATTTGAGTACAGATCCGAGTTGTTGAGAAGGGGGGAAATAAATCAAAATCCCATTAATCTATTTGAAAAGGCTTTCCTTAATCAATAATGGCACCCTCAATCGGGTGGTGGGGGAAGGAAAGCCAAAGAGGAACCCCCGTGGCGGTGAAAATGGAGAACACAAAATGGTCCATGATTGAGCTAGAAGGTCCGTTGAAGGAAGATTTCCTCATCGGTGGCGGCGGAGGAGGAATCGAGACTCCCACCCGGCTCCGAGACAAATCTCGCAACAAAAATGCCAAGCAGCTAACATGGGTCCTCCTCCTTAAAGCCCACAAGGCCGCCGGTTGTTTAACCTCCATTAGCTCAGCAATGGTCTCCTTAGGCTCCGCCATCAAGCGTCGAGTCAGGTCGGGTCGCACCGACGCAGACATCGACAACACCGACAGCGGGCCGGGAGTTGTCGAGAACCCGACCGTCAAAACTCGATTCCACTCTTGCATAAAGCTCTTCCTCTGGTTGTCGGTGCTGCTTCTAGGGTTCGAGGTGGCCGCGTATTTCAAAGGCTGGCATTTCGGAGCCCCGCATCTCCAATTGCAACACCTCCTCGCAACCCCTCTCGAGTTTAGGGATTTCTTCGACTCGATTTACTCTGGGTGGGTTTTGTTCCGGGTTGAATACCTCGCCCCGCCGCTCCAGTTCCTCGCAAATGCTTGCATCTTGCTTTTCATCGTCCAAAGTGTAGACAGACTCGTCCTCTGCTTGGGTTGTTTCTGGATCCGCTTCAGGAAGATCAAACCGGTTCTCAAACATGGCGCCGTTGCCGATATGGAATCCGGTGAGAAGGGCTACTTTCCAATGGTGCTTGTTCAGATTCCCATGTGTAACGAAAAAGAGGTAGATTATTCTAAAACTTGAATTGTTCTCTCCTTTTCTTTAATATTTTTGTTTGGAAGTTAATTGAGAATTTCAGTCGGATTAAATAGTTCTATTTTAATTGTTTCACCAACCTAAGGTTTATCAACAATCGATTGGTGCCGTGTGCAATTTGGACTGGCCAAAATCCAAACTTTTGATCCAAGTTCTGGATGATTCCGATGACTCAACCACACAGTTGTTGATCAACGAGGAAGTTCAGAAATGGCAACAAGAGGGAGCTCGCATTTTGTATAGGCATAGAGTGATCAGAGATGGCTACAAAGCTGGCAACCTCAAATCTGCTATGAACTACAGTTACATTAAAGACTATGAATTTGTTGCCATATTTGATGCAGACTTTCAGCCCACCCCAGATTTCCTCATGAGAACAATCCCCCATTTCAAGGTAACTCACTCATTCTCTACTTATTTTGGATTAACTTAGGATTTTTAATAATTTAATTGAATAAACACTTAAAGATGGTTTCTTTTTCCTTACTACAGGACAATGAGGAGTTGGGGCTAGTTCAAGCTAGGTGGTCTTTTGTGAACAAGGATGAGAATCTATTGACTAGATTGCAGAACATTAACTTAGCTTTCCATTTCGAGGTAGAGCAGCAAGTAAACGGGGTGTTCCTCAACTTTTTTGGGTTCAATGGGACTGCTGGTGTTTGGAGGATTAAGGCTTTGGAGGATTCTGGTGGTTGGTTAGAGAGGACTACTGTTGAAGACATGGATATCGCTGTCCGGGCTCATCTCCATGGCTGGAAGTTCATTTTTCTAAATGATGTCGAGGTATGTGTGTATACATGAATGCTCCATTTTGTTGCTTGTCCTTATGTGATTCGTGATCAATCATTTGGTACTTCTTAATATGTGATTTCAGTGTCAGTGTGAATTGCCTGAATCATATGAGGCTTACAGAAAGCAGCAACACAGATGGCATTCTGGTCCAATGCAATTGTTTAGACTCTGTCTTCCTCAAATCATATGCACAAAGGTACTTTATAATTTTTTCTATGGTGGTGATATTTTTCTAGAGGGGGGAGAGGGGGTGCCAAGTTGGTGAAGTAAAAATATTTTTCTGGAAGTAAACAAATATAAGAGTAAGGTGAGATGAATTGGGATTTTAAATTTTCTCCTCTGATACATTCATCCAAAAGAAAATTTTAGGGTGATAACTTGAACAGTTACAATTTTCTGTAATAGGGGTTGTTTTGTCCTACAATTGTCCTTCTCTGCTTTTACTCCTTCTGGAACATAGACAACTTGGTTGTGATCCTCTTTTAATGGCCTTATTTGCAGATTAGTGTATGGAAGAAGTGCAACTTGATATTCCTCTTCTTCCTACTGAGGAAATTGATCCTGCCATTTTACTCCTTCACCCTCTTCTGCATAATCCTCCCCATGACAATGTTCATACCAGAGGTCGAGCTACCAGCATTGGTTGTCTGCTATATACCTGCCACTATGTCATTCCTCAACATCCTCCCAGCACCGAAATCACTCCCCTTCATAGTCCCATACCTCTTGTTCGAGAACACAATGTCGGTTACCAAGTTCAACGCCATGATCTCAGGTCTATTTCAGCTCGGTAGCGCCTACGAGTGGGTCGTTACTAAAAAGTCGGGTCGTTCATCAGAGGGCGACCTAGTAGCATTGGGCCAAAAAGAGTCAAAGCATAAAAGGGGGTCCTCCGAGCCTAATTTGGTCGACATGAAGGAAGAGTTAGTGAAGCAAGAACAGAAAGCGACGAAGAAGAAGAAGCACAACAGGATATACACAAAGGAGTTGTCTTTGGCTTTCCTTCTTTTAACTGCTGCTGCAAGGAGCCTGTTATCAGCCCAGGGTATTCATTTCTACTTCTTGCTGTTTCAAGGAGTATCATTCCTTCTGGTTGGTCTAGACTTGATAGGGGAGCAGGTTCAGTGAGAACCAAACAGGAGAGGAAAATGGTTGATTAGGGTTTTGTAGTTGTTATACTGGAATCATTATAATAGTACAGTAAAAAAATGGATTGAAATAGAAGTTTGAAGTGAATCATATATATAGACTTCGAATCCAGGGTACCACATACCTTGAGTATAAAAATGCTATCTAGACTTCGAATCAACAGAATTTTTGGGCATGATACTATATTCTAACACTTAATGAGTGAACCCTAGGTCCTAACTATCTAAATCATAAACTATAAACACTATGATGGTGCAATGATTTTTTTGCCTATATTTGGACGAATCATAACCGTCGATTATTTTTTCTAATTAAATTGATCTTGAGGTATAAGATTTAGAGAATTAAGACCTAGATTTTGATCTTTACGAGTTAGAGTATAGTATCATGTCTGAAAGATCAGTCAATTCAGGTTCTGGATAGCATTTGTGGTTAAAAAGGGAAATGTGGAAGATTCTTGACTTGTGTGTTTTTCCTTCTTTTTGTAATGGGGCAACTGTTGCTGCTGAATTCACTTATTGGATATGCTGTTGAGAAAGGCTTTTCAAGTAATGCAAAATGAGAAACATGAGGTTAGATTCCCAATCCTGAAGCGATATAAGGATAATTCAAAACCCAATTCAGATCTTCCACTTTGTCTACTCTTTCTAGAATTTGATACCTTATTTTGTCAAAGAGGAAACATTGGAGATGAACAAGAAATCCCATGTGTTGGAAAATTTGAGAAAGAAAAGGAAAATATGACACTTTTCAAACATCGAGGTTCCAAAAGGTCACCAAGTACGGCTAAAGTAATAAGCAAGACTGAACCCAGGATTATGGGTGTGAGAACAAGAGATAGTATTATTGCTGCTTCTAGTGTATTATGAATTATGATCATCAAAGATTGGGAGGAGGGTATGGGCACAATGGAAGAGGGCCATGTTTATGGGTAGCTCTCTGGCTCAGTCACAAAGCTATCCTGTGTTGACGTATTTATGGTTGGAAAGCAGAGCAGCTGGAGCTAGACCATGCCTCTCCTGTGAAAAATGTAGACTGAAGGCAAAGTTATTTGTTACGCCTTTTCTTTTGGGGATGGATGCTACTGGATATACTTTCATTTTTTCAATTTCACAGTTGGAAACAAACAATAGACACTTCCTGTGGAGAAATTTTTACCATGAACTTACTATACAAATTCATGGGACAAATTTAGTTTGTATCTATACCATTTTCGCACAAAAAATTTGATGATAAACACTGAACTTATACATTTTAACTTATGTTACAAATTTAATTTGTACGTGAAATTATCAATACTTGTTGAGCTCCTTTGTGCTGCGCTCCAATGCAAATGAGTATTGATGGAGTTCAAGTTGGTGGCAAGTGGCAACCAATCAGTAGTTTTTCTAAAAAGAAACTAACAGTTGGATTTTAGTGGTGTTATAAACGCGCTGCTACAGATCGGAAATTCGCCGGAATCGACAAAGCAAGAATACGAAAGCGAGAATCGAAAACACGACACACGATTTACGTGGTTCACTAACACGATGTGTGTTAGCTAGTCCACGGGCAAGAGAGAGCCAGTTTCACTATATCGAGGAGATTACAGATTACAGAGAAGTATGGGAAGTATTTATAGTACTTCTCCATGTGGGTCTAAACCTAATCCAATCTAGCAAAGGAAACGGTTACAGACCAGGCCCAGAACCCGAATCCAAATAGCAGCGAGACCTCCGACTATTCCAATCGTACCGACAGATAGTCCGATTCAAGTCACATCAACAAGTGACTAATTGATTAGCTTTCCACGAGTGAAGAGGAGTGGTATTATTTATGAGGCGTACTATTTGCCCCCCGTGTAATTACTATTTGCCGCCCGTAAATTTAGTAAAAATGACGTTTTTACCCCTCGTCCATTTTTTCATAACACAAATCCTCATCCACCAACTTGCTAAAAACAATCTCACCACCAGCAGGCCACCACCACCGTCGGCGTCTGACCACCGCCTCCACCGTCTGATCCCGTCCCGCCGGCCCGGCCCGTCCGACCCCGACGGCGGACGCCGTCCGACCACGACGGACGGACGTCGTCCGACCACGACGGGCGGACGGATAGAAAAATAAAAGAACAAGAAGAAGCCGGACATTGACGACGATTCCTTCCACAACGACGGTGATTTCTTCCCAGCCGAACCTCTTCCCAATTTCTTTTTTTTTTCTTTCTAAAAACCTCTTCCCAATTTCACGGTTGAAACTCTATTACGAAAATAACGGTGGAGGATTACGGGGAGATATATTGGGAATATAATAAGGAAATTTTATTAATAATTGACAATTCTAAACATTAATCTCGTTATTAATTAAGGAATTTAATTTAATATAATGACTAATCAGACGTGGGTAGTTGGGAAGGATTGAAGGAATCCATTACTCGTGGTAATGGGGCAGGAATCACGTGTTTACTCCACATTTATCTTGATTTGGTAATCCGTTAATTAATTCAATTATATAAGTTTATTTTATTAGTTCATTGTTTCCGCCCAAAAAATAGAAAACTTACCATGATCAAAACTTCCAAAATCACTCTATCGTTGCTAATCCCACGTTTCCCTAATTAACCCACGTCCTAATTTACTTGTTTTTTTATTTCCCTAATTAACCCACATCCAAACCCATGTCCTAATTAGCCATTACATTCCCTACTTACTAATATTTTGCACAAAACAAGATAATGAATGGAGGAATTAGTGGACTGTTTTCTTTATTAATTGACTTAATAAATCATCCTCAATTAAATTAATAATCAATAATTCAAAAAAAGATTTTGAAAAAAAAAAGCTGAGTTTCAGACCTGTCCGCTGCCGGATCTCGGACCCCGTCCGCCGCCGGAATTCGGACCCCGTCCGCGTCCGCCGATCGGACCACGTCCGCCTCCGGCCAGCGGACCCCGTCCGATGCCGGTCAGCGGACGCCAAAAAAAAATATGTTTAGCTTCTCGGCAAGCTACTTCCTCGGCGGCGACGACGACAACACCTGCGGCGAGCTCCTTCTTCTTCAACGCCGGCGACTTTGTGAGGGGAGGGAGTGAGGTCGGACGAATGGAGGGGTCGGCGGGACCAGATCGGAGGAATGGAGGGGTCGGCGGCGGTGGGAGCGACGATGAAAGGATCGGAGGAATGAAGAGGTCGGCCGGTGGTAGGATGTTGTGGAAGGAGGAAGGAAGGTCGGCGGCGGCAGTGGGTTAGATAGGTTTAGGATTAGTTGGAAGAAGGACAAAATCGTCTTATATTTTAAAATTATGGGCGGCAAATAGTAAATATTAGAGCGGCAAATAGCGATTCATATTATTTATTCATGTTCTTTCAATCATCAAATTTCCACTAGACTATTCACATATTCACTTTTTCATTCTAAGTACTAACACATGCACACCATTGTTATTGTTTTTGCTGTCGGTCGTCCATACCTACTGACTACTATCGTGTCCATGTAACGAGATCTATCTGGATGATACAAACAGGGGCGGACCCAGGGGATTTTAGGGGTGTCCTCGGACACCCCTAAAATTTGGGAATACGATTATCCAACCCCCGGTGGTAATTTACGTATGGAAAAAAAAATATAATTGATAGTGAGGGACACCCCTGAAATTTGAAAACATGATTATCCTACTATCATAGTGTCATTTGTGTACAGGGGCGGACCCAGGGGGTTTTAGGGGTGTCCCCGGACACCCCTAAAATTTGGGAATACGATTATCCAACCCCCGGTGGTAATTTACGTATGGAAAAAAAAAATTGATAGTGAGGGACACCCCTGAAATTTGAAAACATGATTATCCTACTATCATAGTGTCATTTGTGTATAGGAATATAAGTGGTAGATTGGATAATTCAAATCTAGAACACTATTCTTATTAATAAACTTAATTTTCGTTGACCTACCGCTCATTTGTTGTTTGATTTTAAAAAATGTAATAGTAAAATGTCATTTCATATCTCTAATTATTTTAAAAACCTAACAATTAAACTAATTTCAAGCTACCCTTAATGCGGCAAGTGTTGAAAGAGTCTTTCAGCTTTGGGTTACATCGAGAACAAGTTTACAAATCGAATATGCGATAAGTTCGTGAATGATTGTCTAATAGGGTATATAGAGACAAATTTTTTTAACACTATAGACACCAAGTGTATTCTACAATTATTTCCGAATATGAAAACAAATCATGGACTTTTTTAACCTGTACGAGTAAGGTATTTTCAAATTTACGATTTTATTTTTATTAATTATTTTTATTTAATTTATTTTTAAAAAATGGACACCCCTATAAAAAATTTCTGGGTCCGCCACTGGATACAAATATCAAGGTTTTCCTTTTCACATTTTGGTGTCAGCGTTGGTGTAACATCATTTGAAAAATCAAAAGTGGTATCATATACTTTCGAGTAACATAAACAAACACTTAATGTTTATTTTTGGCTAGTACCACTAAAAACATCAACCTTTAGCGAATGTGTCATCTATATTATTCAACTTTCGATATGATAATTGTATACCAACTGTTAAGTTTTCCGTTATTGGTTAACAGAAAATACAATAAGCAATTACATGGCAGTTGACGTGAAATTTTCTTTTAAAAAAATAATAAATCAAAAGGGAAAAGGGAAAATGTCTTTCTCCATTTCTTCCATATATCTCTCGTTCTCCCTACCGCCGTTGCAACCCCTCTTTACACCAATATATTTTCCTCTTAAAGTAACTTGGGTGATTTGGACAGTCGAGCCACTTTAAATCTTTAAATTGATCAGGCCATATATAGTGGATTGTCTAGTTGTACTATATAATTGGTGGATAGTAGCGGAGACTGAGCTGACTATCCACAATTTGGTCACTGACTCGCTAAAACACAACACTAAACTACGACCAAGTGCAATCGTAGTCTAGAAATGCAGTATAGTGGGACAAGTAATAAATGTCAACCCGGGGCCTAAATGTACTACCTACTCCGTGAAATTGTATTATCTAGCGGGAAAAGTTGAGTGAGAATGAGTTTAAACTAAAACAGAAACAAAGCAACAAGTTGTTCGGTTTTCTAAAGCAAGAGAAGAGTCACTCGGGAATGAGTCCCCCTATCTCCTGAATTAGGTCCAAGTTGTAGTTCCTTTTGGTTGCTTTACTGTTGATTAGACTACGAAAGATCCGAAAATTGGATATTGATGAATACCCTCAGACTTAAGTGAAGTCATAAGGATCTATGATTCAAAAGCTACTACAGCAACAACAACACTAAAAAGAAAATCAAACACACACAAAACACTCTTCGTGAAGAAGAGTGGGTTAAAAACAAAGCACAAAAGAACAAGCGCGAAAATAACAAAAACACACAAAAACACAAACAAGAACGCAAAATAAAACAAACAAACAAAACAAGATAAAGACTAACTAACAACTTAATGGTTTTCTACTAGTTACCAAGGTTCCCCGGCAACGGCGCCAAAAAGCTTGATCGGTTAATCCGTGTAGATTATTTTCAATGGTTAGCACGTGTCAACAACTATCCCATCCTAAGCTAAGTTTAACTTAAGATAGCATTGCCGTATAGTGGTGATCAATGTCGTATTTTACTCGGATCCTGGTACCCTAGCCTACTTGCCACCTAGTTGCTAATTAGTTAATTGGTTTTGGAGGTTTGAGGGGAGTACTTGAGGAGGTAACTAAACTAGAGATTGATCAAAACTAAAAGCAGGTACTTCGGGGAACTAATACTCCCCCCAGCTTAGGGTTACTATGCATGCATAAATATTTAGGATTATCGAACGTGGTGAGTGAGCTCTTTTCCGCGGGCTTTCGTGGTTATAAACACGCCTCCGAGTACGCTTCCCCTAAGCCCATATATAGTCACCTCTATCTAGGCTATCGTATCTAGGGCATTAAGCTCATGGCTCATTTCAATGGACACTTTCCACACCGAGATTTCATCCCGGGTTCTATCTAGGAAGGCTAACCTACGACAAGGATTCGGTCGCCTCGACCACCATAGGTTCCTATTCATACATCTAACCTCGATTTGCTTGATGGAAAATACCCGTCAAACCATATAACTCCATACCCAGCTTAGAAGCATAAAGTAGGCTAATAGAGAAGATTAGGGCTACTTACCCAAACACAATCAAGGATAGAACAACAATAGAATCAACTAGATAAACACATTCATTCATTGAAACCCTAAAATATTCATGCATACATAATAAACCCTAAAACTAGGGTTTGGGGTTTAGAACCCCAAGTACCTTAAAGGACTACTTCATAAAGGAGGAAAGATGAAACATAGAAGAAATTGAAGAAGACTTGGGTTGAGTAAGATGCTCCCTCTCTTCTAGCTTCTTCTCCTTCCTTCAGCTCTCTCTCTCTCTCTCTGAAACCAGAAATTTCTCTCAAAATTCATCTCATCTAAAAGCGGGGAAAGGGGTTTTCTATTTATAGACAATCTGAGGATGGAGAAGTTCGCGGTCAGAAGCGCAGAGATCGGTGTCGTGATATTCGAAAGTGAGGTTGCGATCTTGAAACAATGTCGCCTTGGCCTTCGAAATGAGGAGATCGCAAGCTGACTTCGTGGTCGCGATCCACGAGTCTCAACCGCGATCTTTCTCGATGTCAAATAATACGGTGGCCGTGATTTGACTGGGGAACGTCTCTGTTTCTCCGTGGCTCCTTTCTCACGAAGTTCGCGCCTTGAGCCCTTCAATTTGCGGCCTCGATCTGGGGCTTCTTGGCCGCGATCTTCAATTTGAGTTCGCGGTCTATGTTCCCGTCCGTGATCTTCAACTTCCAGGCCACGATCTTCAGCTTCCTGCTCCCTTGCTACACTTGTGGCCTTATTTTGTACATAATTCACACATATTGTCTAATACACTCTAAAATCACATCGAAATCACATGTTTGACGTAAAAAAATAGTGAATAAGACATGTTTGATAAAAATACATAGGAAAGAGTTATATTATATCGATGGACAATTGTAATTGACTAAATTATATGCGCCCTAAGAGCATCCACATCAATGGTATTTGCTCAATTGCAAATCCTACGTGGCACTCAATATGCAATTGCAAAGGGGATTATACCAATGTAGTGGGCAATTGCAAATATGCAAGCTTGCATTAAATGAAATTTAAAATGCAAGTCACATAGGAAAAATAAAAAAAATACAAATATTTTTCTCTCTCTTGATTTTTTTTTATAATTATAAAAAATAAACTCTCATATATGCAATTGCAAGTGAATTGCATTGATGGCTCTCTAGGGTGCAATCGAATGGTAATCTTTGAAGGGTATGGCGGAGGTGGTATTCAAGGGGAGGCAAAAGTAGTCATTGATAAGGTACGAGGTCAGGAGATACGTGATCGTAGAGGTGGAGTCATCTCCGAGGATATTGACAAATCCTGTAGCAGTATGGACGTTTTGCTGTGGAATTCATAGGCGGACAAAACTACCGGGCAACCCATTTGGTGGCTAAGACGACAATTTCTTTGTGTTCCTGCAAGTGTTAGTGGTTTTGATTTTCGACATTGAATTATGTTTTAGTTGTAAACTGTGGTATCTTCATAGTTCTTGGTAATACGAGTTAGGTAGGCCAAAACCATTCCGAATGGACCAAAATATTTTCATGGGCCCTTCTCTAGCCTCCAATCCGGATAACCCCCATATTGAGAAAAAAAAGAATCTTAAAAAATAAATGCTCTTCCGCTCCAGATTTCTTTCTCATTATACGAATCAATAACTTAAAGTAATCCGACCAACGAGCCGGATAAAAGCTAGTGGAAATATAAAAATAATATGAAATTAGTTTTGCAATTTCATTATTAACGTGGATGCTCTAATACTACTGTGTGGCTTCCTTCCAGGGGAGCAAAAGTTTTCGACTCTATCCACGGGCCCCGTAGCTGGGCCTTTAGTTTCTCAAAGCCAGCCGGCAACACTGCGGCCGACTTATTCTTGGGCCTCCTTGGGTAGAGTAGCGTTTCGCGCGTTTACTCCGGGAAGCTGTTGCTGATTATCCCCACGTGGCGCAATCCCCATTGGCTGAGGCTGAAGCAGTTTGACTGCCGAATGGCAGAGAGAGAGAGAGAGAGAGTTCATGATCACGAAATCACGATCCCTTTCCACTGAAACAAACAAACTAAAAAAAAAATCCGTTGCGAGAGATTCGATCATACACAGTTCCTTTCTCCCCCGATTCCACCCTTTTTTTTGGTTGTGTCTTTTCTGTTCTCGGGATCTTGACGAATTCCATTTCTCCAGCCGAGAATCAGAATGGTGGGAGAAACTGTTTAAAAAAAAACAAACCGCGTGAAGTTGGATTGAGTTCCGGCAGCCAGCCAATGTCGAGGAGGCCGGGAAATCCATCCCGTCGGTACGGTGATAGCGGCAGCGGCGGCGGCGCTCTTTTCAGTTCCAAGTCCCGCTCCCCTCCCTTCTTGCCCATTGCGCTCATCGTCCTCGTACGTTCGTTTCCCCCATTGATACCTCCTTTTCTGTCTTGTTTTTTTTCGAGTTGGGGGATTCTGATTTTGCCGAGTTTTTCGCAGGGAGGATTGGCCGTTTTCACATATATCCACTCCGGAGGTCTGCTGTTGAATCTTCATTTCCCTGTACAGTTTTTTTGTATGTAAATCGTCTTCGGATTAGCCACTGATTACTAAAACTGTTCCATGTCTGATCTAATTGGAGCAGGATTTGGGGCCAAGAAATCAGCTTCCATACGCCTTGAAGGTACTGCTTCTCTAATTCAACTGGATTTACGACACTTGGTATAGGAAAATAACCCAGCAAACATTTCAAGGGCTTCCCTTCTGCACAGTCATTGATTGATTCCCCAGTCCAGTGTCTACAAAGAAATTGGTTTACATGGTCATGTACCGACGATTCGAATTAACTTGTGCGCACTCTCGATTCTTTTATGGTACACTATATTCTACTCTATGTGCGTATGTGCAGATGACAGTTCATGCACGGGAGAGCTGCACAGGGCGATGCCAGTACTGCGGAAGGCATACGGTGACATAATGCACAGAGTGATGCACGTCGGGCCTGATACTTGTTCAGTGGTTTCCACTTTGCTGAAAGATGAGGAAACTGAGGCGTGGGGCGTGGAGCCTTACGATCTGGAGGATGCGGATGTGAACTGCCGAGCCCTTGTTAGGAAAGGCTTTGTCCGCGTTGCTGATATCAAGTTCCCACTTCCTTACAGGCCCAAATCGTTCTCCCTTGTGATTGTATCAGAGGCACTGGATTACCTCTCCCCAAAATACCTCAACAAGACCATCCCTGATTTGGCCAGGGTATCTACTGAGGGCATTGTGGCCTTTACAGGTATGTGGGTTAAACTCAAAAACTTGCCCAACTAGATTCTGGTTTGAGCAATTCTTGCTGCTGCTTGAAGGCAAGCATTCTTCACATTGGTTTGGCAATTGTTAGTAATAACCTGGCATTGATTTAACCTGGCATTGATTTAAGACATTGCCGTTTCTGTCGATGAAACTCTTATGCTTCAGCTAATATGAGCGATATACATACAGGGTTTCCAGGCCAGCGCACAAATAAAGCAGCTGATGTGTCGAAATTCGGCAGGGCGGTAAGTGTGACAAAATGTGTCTTCTTACTACTTGGTTATGGTCCAAAATGTAGTGTAGTGTAGTGTAACGAGCTGATGTATCAAGAATGAGATTTAACCTTCTGTGTTGTTTCTTTTTTGCAGGCTAAAATGAGGAGTGCCTCTTGGTGGAAGCGATACTTTGGTGTAACAAACGTAGAGATAAACGAAGCAGCAACCAACAAGTTCGAGCAAGCTGCTGCCAAAATGTCTTACACCCCAAGTTGCCAAATCTTCCACCTCAAAGCATACAGTTGAATGCTTTAGCAAATCTAGTTTCGCAGTTCGATTTTCTCTTATACTTTAGGTTATCTTTCTGGATCGGAATGGTCAGTGATTCAGTGGTCAAAAAGTTTTTTGGTAGGATGAATTTAAATGATCGGGAACTTCTTTACAGCCATTCTAGATCCCGTACTCAGACAATTTCACATTATTTGTCGTTTGATTAACCGATATTCAATCAAGTTTTGAGTATAGCATTTATCCTAAATGTTGGGACATATATAGTTGGCCGGCGCGGGTCACATTTTCTTCTCCAGGACCAGGAGGATGTTAACGTGACCTCTGTCCTTTTACTCCCTATGGCATAAATGACACCTTGGCCAATTATTAAGTCCTATACGAGAGGCTCTTCTTTTGTTTGCCGAGACTTGTGTTCTGTTTCAGACTGAAGGGATGCTAGAAACCGAGGTATAGGAAATCAGAGCTTGCAAGTTTCACAAAGCACCCACAATAGGAAAGGATAGTAATCAGTTTATCTGGGCTTTTAATCTTTCTGTGACCCGTTTTATTCACTGAAGGAAGGGTAGTAATCAGTCTATCTGAACAAACTCACCCACTGCATTTGGTCCTGCATCCTATCACAATCCGCCATGGTTCACAGGTGTAAATTACAATGCTTGGAAACAAACACATGAAGACTTTCTTGTGGGGAATCGACAAGGATCTATGGCTTATTGTCAGGGAATGGACAGGTGGAAATTGGATGAAGGATCTCCGCAATCATACTGCTGAGAATGAATGGATTCTCTTTTGTTGATTTCAAGTTCGGATGATTTGATATTGCTCTTGATTGTTGATTTCAACTTTCAAGCTTCGAATGTTGTTGAGTTCATGATTTCATGTTGTTGTCAGTTTCACACTTCAGTCTTTCAGACTATTCTTTATTGATAATAAAGGGAGATGTTCAGGGTTTTTTCATATAACTTTGTCTTTTTTGTTGGTATTGTTGCTGGTATTTTAGACCCGTGGGCACCCGAAACTCCAGCGGTGACGGGGCTGGTTATACTACCAGATCCGAAAGTCCGTTTGGGCCAGAGACGAGAAAACCCGAAGCCCATCGTAGGTGGGGAACGGATACAGGATGTCCGGCCAATCCCAATCCTCTTGTTGCCAATTAAATCTAATTAAAATTGGCATAACCGACATGAATACTAATTGTACCACGATGAGACCGTTCCCTCCCTCTCTACACCCTCCATCCAGGAAAATAAAACTGGTTACTCGTTACTCGTTACTCGTTACTCGTTAGGCGTAACGCGCACTGGCCGCGCTCTCCGGCGTCACATCCTTATCTGGGCCCCACCGCAAACGTTATGTAACTTCAAACGTCTTCCGCATTTCTGAACCAACTAATTAAATTCCCATTGTCCCAAAAAGAAAAGAAAAAAAAAACAATTAATTCTCTCGACCGGTAAAATTAAAACTGCAAAAGCGCCAGCTCTTCCCCATATAGAGAGCGAGAGAGACAGTACAATCCACGTCATTTTCTGGCGGGAACCAAAAAAATTTGACAGCTTGCGGTCGGTTTGCTAACTTTCCGGGCAAGAGTTAAACCTGGTTGGGCCACGTGGGACACCCGACCCTATCGGCGACATATACTCGTACCACGTGGCATTCCCTCTCCCTCCAGATCTCTGCCCACTATTCTTCTTCCCACCACGCTCTCCTTCCCTTCGCGTCGTCGACATGCACCTTAATAATTATCCCAGCGATTTGAAAGTCCTTTATTATTATTATATTATGAAATTTTAAAAGTTTAATTTGTATTATATATTTCTCAGTGTGTCCACAATAATTCAAAAACTGTTGCGGAATTAGGATTTTGCCCCGCCCACCCGCCCTGGATTTGTTCTTCCCGAAACCCTTTCTGGATTTGCATTGCTTTTGATTCTGGATTTCCAGTTTCCCTTTCAGAATCGTAGAGTCCTATTTTATTGGTTGGATTACAAGGAAAGGAAACAATTCATTTGAATTGAATGCCAAGTTAAAGTAAAAGAGAGGAGCCAAGGAGGCGTGGTAATGGCGTGTAAGCCTACCACCACAGAAATCCCTGATAACTTCCTGCTTCTGTGCCTTCTTCTACATCTTCGTGTTGAAGAGCCCTGACCTAACCGGTGAGTCCTCATTGATCCTTTCCCGCGTCTTTTTTCTTCAACTATATCTCGCCGTTTGTCCTCTATCGATTCGCTGTTTTGTTCTTGAATTCTCGTTTCTCGGGTATGGAATCTGTGCGGGGGAAAAGGTTTTTGAGGGGCATCAATGGTCTGATTAGGGCTCTGTACGCATACTAGTACAGTGATTCTGTGTTTTGTGTAATGGTTGAGAAGGATTATACGCCGGAGAAGGAAATTGAGGGTAAGGTTTATTTAAGAAAATTAGGGATTTTTCGTTTTTTTCTCTCTTTCACACTTCATCGGAGTATTAGGAAATTCTCGCCGATTTTTTTTTTTCGGCGTGCTCTTTCTGGGAGCCTAAGAACTTGTTAGTGTAATTGTGTAATGAGGATAGTGAATGAAATACCAGTGATGAAAGTGAGAGACATCTTTGATCATTTGGTACAGTTCTTCATTTGATGCATTTTCTTCTGTGTCAAGTGGTTTTGGTAGGGTGATGAATTTTGTTATTGTGTGCAGAATCTGTCACTAGAGTATGGACATTGCCGCCCTTTTGACTTCGGCGGGAATCAACATAGCTTTGTGTGTGGTGCTTTTCACACTCTACTCTGTACTGAGAAAACAGCCCAGCAATAGGATTGTGTACTTTGGTCGGAGGCTCGCGTCGGTGCAGTTGAGAAGCAATAATGATGATCCTTTCTCCTTGGAGAGATTTGTTCCGTCTACTAGTTGGTTGATTAAAGCTTGGGAAGCAACTGAAGACGAAATTTTGGCCGTTGGTGGGTTGGATGGTGTTGTTTTCCAGAGAATTCTTGTATTCAGGTACGCTTTGACCTTGCCTTAAATTCTTAATTTTCACTGTGTTGTACGGTAGTTTTGAAGATTGAAGCATTTATCAAATGACAAGGCCTTTCTCCTTTTCTTTTCCCGTTGGTTTGAATTCTGTGTATGACTACCTATTCAAGCAGAATGTTTCATCCCATTGCACCAAATGCTTATCCTGCTGTCTTTCTTCTGCAGTATCCGGATTTTCTCGATTGCTGCTGTCATTTGCATGTTTCTAGTTCTTCCAGTGAATTACTACGGAAAAGAAAGGCAACATAAGCGGCTTGGCGCAGAATCATTGGATGTTTTCACAATTGGGAATGTACAGGAAGGTTCAGTATGGTATGATCTGTAATCAGATAGAACAGCGTATAGTGATTTACTTTTTGCTGCAACCGCACCTGCCATAAATAATTTCTCAAGCCTGAACTGTTGGCCCCTGTCTTTGGCTCATGTGACTGGGTCTAAAGTAACATAACATAACCTTTTCCTCTTCTGAACATTGCTCAAGCTTGGCCAAACTGCTCTCTTCATTTGTTTGTATGCACTACCCATATTTTCTTTTTGAAAAGCAGCAAGGGGGACACATACATGAAATTTTACAGAAATTAGTCGCGTGATATTCCGCCAGGAAAACAGAGAATGAGTTTATCTAAAATTCAGAAATATGGCTTTCTTTCCGATTTATCATGGGAAGTTTATGCAATTCACTGGTAATATGATTTACTACTTATTGGTTTACCAATTTCTCTTTTGTTGTATTTTCAGGCTTTGGGCTCATTGCCTTGCATTGTACACAATATCCTGCTCAACCTGCGCCCTTCTTTACTTCGTAAGGAATCACACATTTGCAATTTTTAACTTATTTGTTTTCTTCCGGTAGCATGCAACTTGTTTCCCTTCAACTCACTTTTACATATTTATCAGTTCATCATTGCTACTTTTTCCAGGAATATAAGAGCATCACCAAGATGAGGCTGGCACACTTAAAAGGATCTCAGACAAACTCTAGCCATTTTACTGTGCTGGTTCGATCAATTCCATTTGTTCCAGGAGAATCATACAGTGATACACTTAAAAAATTCTTCACCACATACTATCCATCAAACTACTTGACTCACCAAATGGTACACCACTCTGGTGTTGTTCAGAAATTGATGGTGAGTATCTACAGTATTTTAATATCACGACAAAATTGTCATTTTCTCCTGGAGGATGTAATGATACTTTTGTTTCATAATGAGGACATCATGATTCTTTTGTTTCTTGAGATTTTGGTTATTACTGTGTGATTATTCCCTGACTTTTATACAACTTGTATATATCTTACATGTGGTTCAGCTAAATGTTTTCCCAGTCATCTTCTTTTAGTTTGAATCAGTTGTTGTTGGATGTTGATTTCATTGCTGCAGATCTATCTCTTTGGATTGACAGTTTTTGTAATACTTGCTCTATATCATGTATAGGTTATCTTAAATACTTTTCTTGATTTATGGCACCTTTCTTGTATGGATGACATTTAATAGTCTTTGTGTTCTTTCAGTCTGGCATATGAACATTTTCGTCGGAGGGGCATCACTAAATTTTTGCAATTTGTGATGCACTCTATGCAGAATTCTGCTATGATCTCATGGCAAATAAGTTTTACGTGCTTATATTATGAAGAGAACAGACTGCATTGAGCAAATATGTATCCCTTAGGGGGTTATGTTTAGTGGCAACGAGGGATGAAACCATCTAACCTACATTGGGTTTCAAAGGTTGGGACATTACTTATTGACATAAATGACATAAGTGTAATAGAGTTCCTCCTTATGCAGCTGCTTCTTGTTTGCCACTTTTGTCAAAGCTGGGATCTTTTGTAGTTTTTAATTCTTTCTAATAAGTACAGTTTAGTCCGTATACATTCTAAGACCTGTGGATTGTGCTTTTTCTGCTTGGTGAGTCTCATATGCAGTTGTGCATAGTGTACCAACATGCGGTTTAGGTTTTCCCCTGCATAATGTATCACATGCTTTAAGCCTAATTTTGTTCTTTTATCGGAATGCTCTCCCTGTAGGATGAGGCAGAGAGGATGTGCAAGATGCTTAGTGCTGTTTCATCAGACGGAGGAAGTTTAAGGCCATTTTGTTTTTGTACTTCAAGTACACTTTCCTTTCACATTCTCTCTGACCAACCAGAAAGTGTTGACCAACCAGAAAGTGTTGATGGGAGCATCAGATATTCTGATTTTGAAGTTGCTCCACCAGATAATGTAAGAATCTTGACTCTGGATGTACTGCTTTTATGATATTCTTTCCCTTGGGATTTCAACCTAGTTTAACCGTACTTGTCCTTGGCAGCATCTCATTTTTCAAGAAACAAGTTTGTCATTCATCCTGTCAGCCGCATGATAATTTATTCCTGATGAGTTGATTATGTTTTTGCATAAGCACACGTATTGCCCAATATTATCATAGCAGATCTTGTAGTCGTTCCATACTTTTTCTGAAATTTTATGTAAGCTTTAATTGAGCACTGTTATTAATTAATAGATATATCCGAATAATATTGTTTTTGCTCAGATCTTTTAGTTGTTCCATACCCTTTCTGAAAATTTTCTGTTACCTTTTCATTTAACCATGTTTTTGTAGATTTATCAAAATAATATAGTTCTGCTGCTTAGTGGTCTCTCTTATACCATTGGTGAACCCTGGAAAATATACAAAGTGATGCTTCATGATGGGTCCTAAAATTCTAGATATGATTAGTTTACATCTGTGAGATCCAATGATGTGACGTAGGAGAGAACTGTCAGTGGGTGTGCAGGATCTCACTGATTCTATAGTTAGGTTGTTTTGGAGAAGTTATTTTTATCTGAGTAGTTATGTAGATATCCTTATGTGAATTAAGAAGGTATTCAAGAATCAATTTAATGATTCAATGTCCACCTTCCTCTTCTGATTATTGTATGTGGATGTGAATGGCCATTTTACTTCTTTTCCTCACTTTTTGTGTGTTGTTCACTTTGCATTCTACTCTATCTGGGTATTATTCTATCATCCGATACATTGTTTGGCCTATTACTGGTAGAAATCCCAGGGCGATCGTGTCTGGTGCACTGGCACTGATATGTACGCATAAATGCTGATTATTATGTCAACCAGGCCTAAAGATGGATATATTTGATAGTACTTGGTAGTCATCCTGATTCAATGTCTGCTAGAAGTTCCCCATTTATGCACCCAGATCATATCGTAGCTAAATGGATGCTTCTTTATATTCGTTTTTATTGGTTGCATACTTAGTTTCTTTTGTGTGTAACTTATTATCTTTTCATTGTGGAAAAAATACTGATTTTCCTTGAGATCCTTCAGTTATCACTTACCGTATATTCAAAACTATTTGTAAAGTTGGCTAATTTATTTTTTGATTTCATTACAGGAGTGTCCTGTTGCTTTTGTCTTCTTCAAAACTCGTTTTTCTGCTGTTGTCGCCACACAGATGCTTCAGTCTACGAATCCTATGTTGTGGGTGACAGAACAAGCCCCTGAACCTCTTGATGTCTTATGGTCAAGCTTGTCTATCCCGTATAAGCAGCTCTGGCTTCGAAAGATAGCTACACTTCTGGCTGCTATAGTGTTCATGTTTCTGTTCCTTGTTCCAGTGACATTTGTTCAAGGCTTGACTCAACTGGATAAGCTATCAAAGACTTTCCCTTTCCTGAGAGGGCTTTTGAAAAAGTAAGTTCATATGCGGCACTGCTGATGTTTGTTGGCCCACTACAGGCTTCTTTGTACAACATGCACCCTTTTCGCTTATTGGACTAATTCCTTTAGCTAAACCATTTTGCTCTCTTCACGCAGGAACTATATAAATCATGTGGTGACAGGTTACTTGCCTAGTGTGATTTTGATGCTATTTCTGTATACCGTGCCACCAGCAATGATGCTATTCTCGTCTATAGAGGCACCTGTCTCCCGTAGTGGACGGAAAAAGAGTGCATGCTTGAAAGTCTTGTACTTCACCATCTGGAACGTGTTCTTTGTCAATGTTCTCTCAGGGTCCGTTATTAGTCAAATAAATGTCTTCTCCAGTGTAAGAGACATACCTCTGGAACTTGCCAAAGCTATACCCACTCAGGTGACCTTTTATTTCAATAGAGTTCAGTTCATTTTATTTTCACTTCTGAAATTGTGGTTGTTTTAGTTATGAACATCTATTTTCCTTTTGATGCTGATGATGCTAATGTTATTCTTACATAGTTTCACATCTCTCGTTTGTATGATCCGTCTATCATTTGGAATTTGATAGGCCAAGTTAACTAATGGGGCCAAATTGAAGGGCGGCATGTGGTTATTAAGTCGTGGTATTTAAGCATGCGACTCCATTAGGGACATCATAGAGAATAGAAATGAATCAACACCGTAGTACAAAGATTTGTTTGTTAAATTCACTGTCCAAGGATGTATATGGTAAAACAAATTAGTTCAGGGACTAAATGCCATCAACTCATACCTCTTTCTTCAACATTCACGAATCTCATTCTAGCAGAATACAAATTGGTATGTGATATCTCCATATGTAGTTCATCATGTTGGAACTTAACACGATTTGTCCTGATTTTAATTTGTTATCGCCCGAATATATGCAGGCAAGCTTTTTCATGACCTACGTTTTCACATCAGGCTGGACAGCTCTGGCTTGTGAACTAATGCAGCTCTTCACATTTGTCTGCAACCTGATCAAGAAGTTCATCCTCAGAAACCACGAAGATGCACATGATTGGCTTATGTCCTTCCCGTACTATACAGAAGTCCCAAGAGTTCTCTTATTCGTACTCATCGGCTTCACCTGTTCGATCATGGCACCTTTAATACTTCCATTTCTGCTGATTTACTTCTTCATGGCTTACCTCATATACAGAAACCAGGTACCCTATCCATCCATCCATCCATCTGATCCGCTCCATCTGATCAAATCTTTCTTTTCATCTGACAAAACTGTATTTTTTCTGCCGTCCAGATGCTCAACGTGTATATAAAAAAATACGACAGTGGTGGATTGTTGTGGCCTGTCGTACACAATACGACGGTGTTTTCGTTGGTGTTGACCCAGATTATAGCTCTTGGGGTTTTCGGGATCAAAGACTCTCCAGTTGCATCCGGCTTTACTATCCCCCTCGTTGTTTGCACACTTTTGTTCAGTGAATATTGCAGGCAGCGGTTTCTGCCTATTTTTAAGAAAGCTTCTGCCCAGGTAAACAGACCTAGCCGATTAGGTTCACAGAGCTGTGTTTTATTTTTGTGGTATTCTTCTCTTCTATAAGATCTCCCATTTGACAAAGTTGATCAACATTTATACAGGTTCTGATAGACATGGATAGAGAAGATGAGAATGGCGATAGATTCGAAGAGATTTACGATCGGTTACGTACAGCTTATTGTCAGATCCAATTAACTTCACATGAACTTAGACCGGGACGAGCAGGAACACGGGTAACTGATGCGACGGAGGATATTCCGGGTTCTGGGGGTCCAAAAACAGGTTCGTTTCTCCGAGGAGTTATACAATGGGCTCGGTTTATGTGTCCCTTGAGACGGGCAGAGTCGTAACCCCATGGCTTTTGGCTCTGTGGCTGTGTGAAGACGAGCAGCAGGGTAAGTAAAGCTAGGGCTGTCTGCAATTTTGAAGATAGCTATGGTCCTATGCCTTAGTGGTGGAGTCTTTTTTGTTTTTCTTTCTATTTTTGTGTACATAAACTTCTCTCGATTGTTTTCTGTTACTCCACATTGGGGAAGAATTGCCACATCTGACACCGTGATCAGGTAGCAATGTTGGAGTAGCAGTGGTGAGGGGTTTTCTTTGTACAGGGGGCAGAGGTGATTGGGAACTTGGGCAAGTGTAAGTTGAAAGTTTTATATCAATATAGAAAGGCCTCAGAAATGAAGTGCTACAGACAGACAAATTAATCTAGCTGTTGTTGCTGAAACGCTTTCTATGAAATGACAAACCAATTGAAAGGTTGAGCAACCAACGTTTCTAATAAAATGTTGAAGACGCTGATGTGTGTGTGACCACGGTGGAGCTACGATGCCTGTCGGGCCGTAAGCCATTAGCCCATCCCACGCTTTGCCGATGGCGCCGTGCTTTTGGACGAGGAGTATGGAAGAAAGATTCATAGGTCCCGTTCATTTCCCATTCTATTTTCTATGATTTTGACAACAAAAAATGAAATTTGGAGGATAAGAATTTGCTGAGAAACGATTTCTAAAAACCTATTTAGGTAGAATTTTTGGTGAATCTGGAAACTATATAAACAAAAGACATTTTCAAATAGTATCGTACGTCTTCCAATAGAACATCTTCATATTGTAGTAGATCTGATAACATCTATCACGCTCGATTACATAGTAATAAACATAATAGTTGTTTTAGGGGTTAATGTCATGTTTAGTCACTAGAAAAATTAATATCAATAATGGTCACTATGTTTAGTAAAACATGTCATATTTGGTCACTCTTCGTTAACACCGTTAGTATTTTGATGATGTGACAAACATAAGTGATGACTCACCCAAAGTTAACTCTTGAAAAAAAAAAAACTCGCCCCACTACGTGAGAAAACTTGCCATGTCACCAATAACCAAACCTAACCATATTTTACTCGACCCTCTTCTTCCATCTTCCTAAACTTTCTCCCAAACCAAATCAAATCCACCACTTGCTCACTCCGATTTCAAATCTCTTTCATCAGCTAACTACACATTGTTTACAACACACAGTAGTTTCTAAGGAATCAAAATTTCCAACAACAAAACCATATCCAAAAGTGAAAGGCAATCGACCTACAACAACGAAATTTCGATCTGGTGCTGGCCGACCACGGGCGCCAAAGGGGAGTTTGAACTAATTTTCCTTAGCTATGTAAGGCTGCACACACTTATGAGATGCATATTGGTGGGCCATGGTGGTTGTTACTATTGATCCACTGACCTATGAAGAAGTTGCTGAGGATGATAAGTGGAATACATCAATGAAAGAGGAAATGAAGTCAATTGAGAAGAATGAAATATGGAACCTAATTACACTACCACCATATGCAGCTCCAATTGGTTTGAAATGGATCTCTAGGGCAATATTGATGTAAGATGGCTCTATGGGCAAGTTGAAAGCCAGACTGGTAGCTAAAGGGTTATTCTCGGAATGTTGAGATTGACTATACTAATGTATTTACTCCAGTTGCAAGGTAGGACACAATTAGGACACTCTTGGCTCTAGCACCTCACTATGGACGCATTGTCTACCAGCTTTATGTCAAGAGTGATTTTATGTATGGAACACTGACATAGTAAGTTTATGTTGAGCAACCATAGGGATTTGTGATTGTTGGGAAGGAAAACAAAGTCTACAGCCTGAGCAAAGCACTGTATGGCTTGAAGCACAAGCCCAGGGCTTGGTACAACAAGATTGAGTCTTATCTTCTAAGTACCGGGTTTGAAAGAAGCACATATGAACATACCTTGTTCATAAGAGAAAAGAAGACGAGATTATACTAGTTATCCTGAATGTGGATGATATAATCTACACAAGCAACTGTGAAAGTCTGATTAGTGAGTTCAAAGACTCCATGAAGCAGGAATTTCATATGACTGACCTTGTTAGTATGAAGTACTTTATGTGGGTGGAGATTACTCAAACATAGGTGGGCATCTTCATCTCACAGAAGAAGTACTCAAGAGAGATTCTTGAGAAATTTAACTTGCTTGAATGCAACATGTCAGAAGTCCAATTGCAATTGAAATGAAGCCAACTAAGGAAATCCATCAGAATACAAACACTTAATTGGAAGTCTCCTCAACGCAACTGCAACTAGACCTGACATCATGTAATCAATGTGCTTGCTAAGTCAATTCATGGAGCAACTAACAAAGAAACATGTGCTAGCAGCAAAAAGGGTTCTCGGAAACATCAAAGGAATAGTGGGACATGGAATCTGGTATCAGAAGGGCAACAATGAAGGTTGTCTGGTAAGCTATACTAACAGTGACTATGTTGGTGACTTGGATGATCAAAAGGGTATAAGCGGGTATGCATTCTTTTTGGCTGGAGGAGTGGTTTCCTGGGCATCAAAGAAACAACCAGTGGTCACTCTCTCTACCACACAAGTTAAGTTTGTGGCTACCTCCTACAGTGTTGCTCAATGTGCTTGAGGAGAACTCTGCAACAAATGGGCTGGAAAAGAGTGTTAAAGGATCTAAAAATATTATATGACAACAGCACCACAATAAAGCTATCCAAGAACCATGTTCTTCATGGCAGGAGTAAGTACATAAATTTGTATTTTCACTTTCTCAGAGATTTGACAAGAGAGGACATAATTAAAATGGTGTACTATGGGAAAGAAGAGCAAGTTGATGATGTTATGTGTAACACCCTTACCCTGATATATTGTCTAGGTCATATTTATGGTAATTAATAGTGATCAGGTAAAAATGACGTACCTTAACTAAAAAATTGAATTACTGTAAATAGGTGGCTAAGTTAATTTATTGAGACTAATCAAATTAGTGTTACTTTAATACCCTATATGGGATTAGTGGAAGAAGAAAAGTGATCGGGTAAGTGGAGACTGGTGATTGGTTATGGGTAGAAGACTTGGGAGAAGGTGACTGGTTGAAGGAGATAGAGAGAATTCTAGAGACACATATGGAAGGGCCAAAAATCTGTCACCTCTTCCATTCTTACCATCTCTCTCCATCTCTTCCTATCCTCCATTCTCTCCAAAACGACCCCATCAACTCCAGCGTCCACCCTCAAGTCTGAAACCAAACTAGAAAAGGGGCAAGATTGGAGACTACAAAACTAGAAAAGGTGTAGTCTAAGGTAAGAATCTTCTTCCTTTCTTCTTCCTCGAGCTTGAGAAGCATGAACTAGAATAGGGGATTTGGTGATTTGAGGAGGAACAAGGAGCTAGAGCTCCATAAATTATATCCCCTAGATAGAGTAACCATGTTAGTCATCAAAGGAAGAAGGTATGAGGTGTTTAGAACTCAAAGTGGTGAATTGGACAAAACCGGGTTTGATCCACTAGATGTTGTATATATGGAAATAAATGGTCGTATTTAGACATGATTTAACATTTACAATCGTCAAATAATCATGGTTGGGAATTTTGGAATGAATTGGATCAAGGGAGGGTAGTAATGAAAGAGGTAGTAGAAGACAGTTTTGGACCTTCAACTTGAAATGAGTTTCAAACCTAAACCACTGGTTCAAATGCTCTGAAATTTTAATATGTTGTAGTCTTATTAATCTAGTTTAAGTAAAAAGATTAAGAAATCGATTAGGTTGAGAATTAAGGGAGAAATGGACAAAACCATAAACGGGGTAGTGATTTGTAGCAAGGCTTTTTAAGAATCCGACCTCCAACACAGCCGGGTTTTGACCAATTAAGGTCGTGTTTTTGGAAAGAAATATGCCAGAAACACCTCCTAAAAACCCAACTTCTAGGCTTTAAAAACACGGCCGGATTTGTGACCATAAAAGCAGTGTTTTTCCTCTTTTGGCTAAAAATGTGTTTTCATTTAGAAACTTCAATGCATTCCAACCCATACCCATTCATATGATTTCTCTATTTGATTTGGTTGATTAAATGTGCCTAAATGGATTGATTAAAGGTAAGGAGCAAGCCTGAAAACCATCTAGAGGCAAGGGAGTTGCGGAGCGACTACAAAAGTGTGAGTAGATTCTAACTCTAAATTCATATCAATGCAAATGCGGTATTTGGGTCATGAAGCGACCCAAGTACATAACATAAATCTTGAGGTATTCGGGTCATGAACCGACCAGAGTACGAAGCATGAATATCAAATGAATGAGTATTGAATTTTATATGAATTGAATGACCATGATATGATATTTATGTTATGAATGTGATGATGATTAGGTGATTAATGTGATAATGATTGTATGATGATTGTCAATGGCCACTTGAGAGGCCAATGATCATGTGTTTATGGTAAAGTATGATATTGATGTGGTGAAATGGTAAAGTCTAAGGAATTGAAGACAATAAGGTGATAAAGTCATGACGCCTATGAGCGTAAGGGTATTGATGTAATGAAGTGATATGTGATGAGTGATGAGTGATGAGTAAAAGTGATCTATGTATGGCTATGTGATAATATGTATGAAATGTGATAAATGATGACGGTGAATGTGAAATGTAATGTGTATGTGATATGAAATGGCCTAAAAGGCGATGTTACTGTACTAGAAAGCCTATGAGGCGATGAGGGGATAATGTATAGCCTGAATTAGGGATGGCAATTACCCACCCATGGGTAATTATACCCAAACCCAAGTAGACCCATTGATAATGGGTTGGGTATGGGTGAAGTGCATATGGGTTTGGGAATTTGTAGATTGGTTGGGTATGGGTATGAATATTGCTTTTATAATCTAAATGGGTATGGGTTGGATATGGATATCCATTTACTTGAGTGTGTTTTAACTACACATACAAAAATTGGATCTATTTGTAAAACTTGAAAATTTTAGGTACCAAAATGTAAGACCAAAAAAAGTGAGGTACCAAAACGTAATTTTTCATCGATATTTTAGGGACTTATATGCAAAAAAAATTAAATTTGGGTACTAAATATGTATATCTATTAAGTTTAGGTACCAAACTGTAATTTGCATTCGGGCATGGGTACAAACCCAAATCCATTTGTTAAAGACCCAACCCAAGTAAATGGGTATGGGTACAAACCCATCAAGCTCTACCCATATCCATCTATTTGGATATCATACCCAACCCAATTGGGTTGATAGTAAAATACCCATTGGTATGGGTAAAATTGTCATCCCTAGCCTGAATGGCTATATGATGATACTGGAAGAGCCTAATTGGCGATACTGTGATACTAGAAAGCCTGCAAGGCAAAAATGTGATGATACTGGGATAGTCTAATTGGCTATCGTGTGATACTAGAAAGCCTGTAAGGAGGAAATGTGATACTGGGAAGCCTATAAGGCGATGAGCTTATATAAAATTGTGAATGTGACTATGTGAATGCTATGATTATGTGAATAGATATGCGTTAAATGATTGATTATATTGCTTGATACTTGTGATGTGACTAACTAAAGAATTGTATGATCACCTAAATTAAACTTAAAGGCGCCTGTTGTGTACTCTATGATATGAGGATCCAACCGGCCGGACACTTGATGCCAAAAGATGCGACGTGTATAGGATCCGACCGGGCCGACACAGGTGCCAAAAACTGCGAAATGATATAGGGTCCAACCGGCTCGGCACATTGTACCAAAAGCTGCAAAGTGATATAGGGTCGGACCGGCCCATCACTTGATGCCAAAAGCTGCGAGAGTGATACAGGGTTCGACCGTTCTAGCACATGGTGCCAAAAGCTAAGAAATTATATAGGGTCCGACCGGCCCGACACATTATGCCAAAAGCTGCGAGATACCTGAGGGAGTACACGACGTGGCAATGTAATGAAAATGCATATAATGAACCTAACCAACCGTGTGTATGTGTGTCTATGTGTGCATGATTGATCGTGGGAATGTGAATGATGTGCTGAACTATTTATGGGCATGACTGAATATGCGTGAACTGATGATGCTAGCATCGTGTTGTGTGTACCATGTGATGTTGATTGAGATAAATGGATGTGAATGGGATGGATGTGTCTTAGCATCGAGATATGATATAATGATGTGAAATGTGTGCTAAATAATGTGACTGATACTAAATTGAGAAATAAGGTGTTGTATCACCGTGGAATGTGAGTGTTACTGGATAGTGATAGAGAGGTGTTATGAACACCTAGAGATTGTTCAACCATCATGTATCATGAAATCATAATTGAACATTGAATGTTATAAATTGGAACCATAAGCAACAAGAGCTAGAAGTAAATGATAAGTAACAAAAGGGTACCATGCAAAATAGTGCTTATGTATTGTTGTTCATTTAGGTTTAGAATTTACTCATTGAGCGACGACTCACCCTTCGTCAAATATTTTCCCCCAGATTCAGAGCAGTTGCGGGAAGTGATAGAAGTAGAAGTTGTGGCTTCAAACTTCAGGTTTTGATTAATGAGGTGAGCAGAAGACTAAACATGTTTCCACATGAAATCTAGTGTCAACTGTTTACCTTTTTGCACTTGATTTGTAAAGTTTTTAATTGGGCCCAAAAATCTTTTTATGAGTTTTATGTACTCTAAACAAAAGTGAGTATTCTGACAGGATGTTACATTATGACCAAGGCTCTCAAACTTGAGGCTTTTGAGTATATGAGAACTAAGTTCGGAGTGGAGGAAATGGTGAAGCACAATGAAAGAGGAAATATTGAAGATGAAGTGAACTGAAGCCTATTGACTAGCTTGAACTCAAGGGCGGATTTTTCAGTTGAAGAACAAGCGTAAAAGATCAAAACAGCTTTGTTTTGATTATTGTCTAGTTGATTGAATCTAATATATGATTATCTTTTGTAAAAAAATAAAGGTTAATGTGTTGTTGGTAGAGTCATTCTGGTCTTTTTGCATTTATGGTCCTTAAGGTTTGTTTTCTGTGAGTCAGGTCCAAGTCGAGTCTCTTAGAGGATTTGTTAGCTAAGTTAGTGGTGTTCTGTCAGTTGAAAACAAGGGTCAAGGGGCTAGTAGGAATGGTGGAAGTCAGATTTGCAGGCTGAAGCCTTTTGTACTTAATTTGGTTGCTTTCATTCAATGGGAATTTGTCAGTTTGCCCCTATTCGAGTTCACATATGAATGTAATAGGCTTAAAGCTTCTGATTTTTTTTCAAAAACTGAAGCGGTTGCAATAAAATTACTGCAAAAGAGGCTGCTGATTTTGTTGAAGTGCCAAGAGACTTCTGGTTTTTTATATTTATTCTAGAGCAACATTAAGAGCCTACTGTAGACTAAAACGTTGGGTTGTAGCCCCTTCGTGCCTTCTACTTATCAGTTTATCGGTTGATGGTATAACTGATTTCTGGAACCAGTTATATCGTAAACTGACGGTGTCCAAAAAACTATACTCGGTATTATCAAATTCTTCCTAGTTAGTAACCGACGGTTAACCAGGAAACCGAACAATTGGAATCCACCATCATTAATGCTTCACAACATCTCCCTTCTCCTTGTCTGGCGATTCACGAATCCTTCCCTTCTATCCTTCTCTTCCCCCATCATCACCCAATCCTTCTCTTCTCTTTGACTTCTCTCCAGTCCAATCCCCATCTTTTCTTTACGACAGCGCGGCCTTCCGCCTCCATAGCAGACGAGCATGATTCTTCTCTCTCAAATTCAATGGCGGTCCAACTTCTGAATCCTAGTGAAGACCCTTCAACGCCTTCTTTCTCTTATGAGGAGGAAGCCACCTCGAGCATTGAAGGCCAGAAAGAGGACGAGATGATGGATCCCATCGCCACGGGCGCATTTCGTAAAACCATTGGCCCCGCATCCACTTTCGTAATCTCAATCCGAATCTAAATCAAAATCCGACTCTCAACTCTACTCCGCTAGTGAATTTCCAGGTCCGGCCGTCTCATAATATGGTGGCCCTGTTCGAATATTTAAAATGTGGCTCTAAAGTTTGTCCTCTATAAATTAATTAAAAATAAACATTATTCAATAATTTAAAAAAAAATACATAAGTTTAGAAAATGATTTCAAAATGAATAAACGATTTCGCTTTCAGTTTGACCAAGAAACCAAGACCAAATTCCTAGCCCTAGCAGGGAGGGAGGAAAGTAAATCTGGAGGGAAGAGAAAATGGATATAACGCAAAAATTGAATAGAGAAATGAAAATAGTATAAATTGATCTAGAGGTGGGTGCAGAGTTGTCTGATGGATCGTGGAGGTGATAACCGGAGAAGAGGATGCTGGATTTTAGAATGCCAACAGCGTTCTAGTATTTCGATTCTGCAACAGCCATATCAGTACTCGTTGCAATAGAGAAAGGTGACTGAATTCAATTCATCGTTCATGGTTGAATGAGAGGAAGTGCATCATATCAATTCAATACTTTGAATTACAACCAAAATACTTTGATTTACAACCATAATCTGATTTACAGAGTCAGATAGAGACTAAATCTAAAAATTATGTACTGTGCCTCACCCTCACTCTTCTCAACTATCTCTAATGTTTATGTAGTCAATTTAAGTTGGGTTCTTTTGAATATCCCTTGAAAGATATATATTACAACCTCAAGACGGGTTTGCATCACTAAACAAGTCCCTTCCTTCCTGGAGCTTCATCTCACCACCCTATTATTACTAGTTTCCAGAGTTTTGAGACATTTCTGCCTAGACAACACTGAGTTGACCACCTTCTTTGTTCGCCGTGGTGGCTGCTTTCAACTCATTACGGCGGTTTATGAACTTGCTCAGCTCCTGCCGTTCACAATACAAAAATGATCAGTATTACAGGCAGAAAGAATGCAGAGTAGTGAATGAGAACATGATTAAAACAAGGGGAAGAGAGCTGAACACCGGAGAATAAAAATAGTCATGTCAATGGCCTGGGAAAATAACCACTGTAGAAACCTACCAAACTCATCTGAACAAAAAGAGATTTGCGGCAATGAAAAAGAGGTCCTTAAAACTACCCTCGGGTTTTCAAAGAGTGTGCAGCTGAGATTCCAATACTTATTTTGGAACATGAAGAATGCTCAGCTCTTAGTACTTTCAATCAAACGATCCAAGGAATGATGGCTTGGTTACTCGAAAGAGAAATGAATCAACAGCCCACGTCCATGTTTTAAAAGCATCAAATGAAAACAATTCGAACGAACGAAACTGAATCCAAATGGAAGGATCAAAACCCAAACAAAATTTCCCCCATATCCGCACAAGTGAGCAAGCCAGTAATCAACATTCCGGCAGGCAGGCTTTGTCTGTTTGTAGCGGATACCGGAACAAATTATAGCGTCAGCTCATACTCAACGTCTACTTTCAGTAATCAGACGGTGGTAATCAGTTTAATTGACGCAACATTGAAATGGCCAAGCAAGTTGCAAAAGAGGAAGACAGGATAAACTTAGGTCCGCCACACCCATGTTTAAGAGCTTGAAATGAAAACAATCAGAATGAATGAAACTGATCCAACTGGAAGGATCAAAACACAAACAAAATTTCCCCCATATCCGCACAAGTGGGCAGGCCAGTAATCAACATTCCAGACAAGCAGGCCCTGTTTGTTTGTAGCGGATACAGGAACAATTATAGCGTCAGCTCATACTTAACGTCTACTTTCAGTAATCAGACGGTGGCAATCAGTTTTAATTGACGCAACATTGAAATGGCCAAGCAAGTTGCAAAAGAGGAAGACAGGATAAACTTAGGTCCGCCGCACCCATGTTTAAGAGCTTGAAATGAAAACAATGAAACTGAATCCAACTGGAAGGATCAAAACACAAACAAAATTTTCCCCATATCCGCACAAGTGCCAGTAATCAACATTCTAGCAGACAGGCAGGCCCTGTTTGTTTGTAGCAGATACCGGAACAATTATAGCGTCAGCTCATACTCAACGTCTACTTTCAGTAATCAGACGGTGGCAATCAGTTTAATTGACGCAACATTGAAATGGCCAAGCAAGTTGCAAACGAGGAAGACAAAGATAAACTTAGGTCTGCGATTCGACTTACTCTATCGGAGTCCATCTCCGACGTCATCTTTGATGGCTTCACAACTCCCTGCGCTGCAGAAGAAAAACAAACCCAATCAAAGAGATGAGAATCCCTGCCCACTCTTTCAGAGCGAAAGGTTAGGGTTTACCACTAGAGTTTGGTGGCTTCTGTTCTATGGCTGTATCTAGGGTTTGGGGTTGCGGCTTATGAAAGGCTGCACAACCTCTTTAATATATAAGCGTTTTCTTAGGGGTAATTAGCAAAATGGTTGACAAACCTTTGCATTTAGTACAAAACGGTTGCAAATCTTTCATTTGTAACAATACGGTAACAAAAGTTTGAAATTGTATAAAATGATCACTTCTATTTAATTTGCGATCGTTTTGTATTAAGTGCAAAGTTTTGTTACTGAGTCGTTACGTATTAAATGCGTGTGCCCGTTTTGAGGTTGGGTCGTGTGTTCGTCAAGTATATGACACTAATCACTTGAACAACATATAAGATGTCAGGTCGTGTGTTCATCGATATACTTGCTTTGTCGAATTAGGATGTCCTTTGTTAACCTTTCAATACCGATGCCAAGAAAGTAAGAAAGTAAACTGAGTTTTTTTCAACTAAAAAGCAGCATGTAACCCGTTTGTGAGGCGTTGAATTCCCTCGCTGACTTGCCACGAATACACCGCGATTTAAATCTCGACTAGAGCTCAAGTATAAACTCTAGCCTGGTGCAGTATAGTGCAAGTATGTTTTAATTGTCAAACCCGGGTCGGTCCATGTACCCCTACTTCAATCGCTTAATTTGTTATCTAGCAACGATTTTGGGTTTAAAACTAAGAAAACTACAAAATACACAAACAAGGAAAGTAAATCGAGGATAATTCTATATGAGAGGACTTCACTTGGGTATTGCTTCCCCTAGTCTTGTGCTAATAAACAATGAAGAAAACCCTAGTGTGAAGGAAATGTTCATACACTGTGAGACTGGTGCAACTAGCTAGGAACAAGCTCTTCTAGTCGATCGATCAAGGATTTCCACAATAAACTAGCGAACCTAGCTCTCTTAATCGAACAAACCGAGGAAACCCTAACTCTCTTAGTTGACCAATTAAAAATTATTGCATTAAGTTAGTAGACTAGGGGTCGTTTGGAAGTTGCGATTGTTTTGTTGAGATTGTCATTATGCATGTATTGTTTACAATGCATCGTTTTTTTGTTTTTTTAGCAGAAACAATCCATGTATTGTTTCTGTGATGTGACAGAAACTATCACTCATTTTGAGTGATTGTTATATCTCAACTTTTAGTTGTGATTGTTGAGATTGTTGAGTTGAGATTGTTTTGTCTCAGCTTTTAGCTAATGCGACATACACAATCACACATACCAAACGTTGTATTCTACAATGCATCAAATTCGACAATACATGTATAATATTATACATGCATTCTTAACCGTACATCTATTTAACAATCGCAACTTCCAAACGACCCCTAACTCTCTTAACCTTTTGGCTAAGGATGACAGCAATAGGCTAGGGAATCTGACCTTCTTAACTAACCAACCAAGGATTGCAAGATCCAACCCTCGAAAGTTAATCCGGACGGCGGAGAGACCAATCACGTCAAAATCATGGTACAATTCCAATACTTGAGGTTTCGGCCCTAGATCAACCCAAAAGGGGTTACTCAAGTGGCTAGGAGATCAATCCCCCTATGGGCCACAGAGGGGTTTCCACATTCTAGATTAATTTGACACAATAATGAATATATCAAATATGAGTTAAGATTTTAATAACCCATCTAGTTCAAACTAGACTCAACTCGTTAATACACGAGCCGAGCTAAAATTGGGGTAAAAGGCTCGGCTCGGCTCATTTCCCCCTGTATCAATGGGTTTGCTTGCCGTTTTTGGTATCCAAACATTATTAACAATTATACTTGGCACACTTTTGATTCAGCAATTGGAGTTGGAACGCCTTGCAGGCCCTTTTGGCAGTTGGCACTTGGCAGGCACCTACCTTCCACGGAGCGGATCCGGCCCATACCGGTTTCGTTTCGAGTTCCTTCATTCATCTTTTCTCCGACCGTGTCCCATCCATTCCATCAACAGAAACCTAGCTCCAGCAACAGCAAATTACCACGAAAACAAAACTGGGACAAATCCTCTGTTTTCTGCCATCATTCCCCACCGCGGAATCCACCGTCGTCTCCCGTTCCGAAACTCGACCACCTCAGTTGGCTTACCCACTCTGCAAGTACTTCCTATTATTCTTCCACTTCTATCGTTTGCTTATACTCCCATCACTCCCCCTCTTGAAGCACTGTGATTTTTCTTTTTTTCTACGGTTGGTCTCGTTTTTCCGCCCCCCGAAACTTTCCAATTTCAATGCTTTACAGAGAACTTGGGGTCATTGGTTGGCAATTGTGGGCTTACACATTTTGCTCAGCATTCAAACTAGAGCCAGGAGTTATTCTATTACTCTCGCAATTGCTTTCCTTGTATCGACGCTTTATGAATCTTGTCTTACTGAGTTGCCCGATTGCAGGGTTGGTGAGTTTTTCTGGCACGGATAGTCCGCTACCATGTCTTCCCAATTGACCCTTTCCAAGAGGCCAAATGATCAGAATGTTAATGAATCAAATAGGAAAGGCAAGTTGCAGAAGACCCAGAATTCCAATGACCAAAATTTGGGATCTTCCCTTGGAAATGTATATTTCAGAGTGGTGTGCTCGGCTTCCAAGGTCGACTGTCTAATTGGGGAAGATGGTGGGGCAATAGCTCGAATTAGCAAAGAAACAGGCTTGAACGTAAGAATAGTTGATGATGCACCTGAATGTGATGAGAGGGTGGTTGTTGTTGAGAGTTCTCCTAAAGAGACAGAAGGAGGTGACAGTGCACTGAGCAAGAAGGAAGAAGGTAATGTGGAGGCTAATGCAGCAGAAGAACAGAAGGAGGCCGTTAGTGTGGATGACTCACAGTCTGTGAATGGAGCTTCTGCTGTGAAGGCTTTACTGCTCATCTTTGAAAGACTTGTTGAAGCGGAAACCAGTAAGGATGGTGGAGATGCGGGAAAGGGAAAGCTGCCTTCTTCATTTGTTTTGAAGTTACTTGTGCTCTGCACTCAAGTTGGTTGCATCTTGGGGAAGGGTGGCAGCATGATCAAGCTGATGGCAAGTGAAAGTGGTGCACAGATCAGGATCCTTCCCCGGGATAAACTTCCAACATGTGCATCGGCTCAAGATGACGTGGTTCTGGTAATGCTGCATGATCACTCGTGATCTATAAATTAGATTCATTTTTCCTGTTATCTGTTTAGTTTAACTGTTATACACATCAATTTTATCCAAATTGCTATATTGGTTTCAGTTTTGAAGCCACTCCTTCAGTTTAGAAGTTCTTCTCCCTTCAGATTTGTGTTTTTCAGTTACTTTGCCATTTAACATGATGAAGTAATTTTGCTGCGGTGCTTGCAATATTTATTCTTCATTTCTGTTGCTTGCAATGGTGTAGATCACCGGAGAGATTGATGCTGTTAAGAGAGCTCTTCATTCAGTTTCCAAGCAACTTTTGGGCAACACAGTTAAGGATCACCATTTGGATTCTGCCACTTCATTGGATCATTCTCATCCAAGAGCAGAAGCTAATCCACCTGCGCATCGTTCTGTTATTTCACGTGGAGCACTATACCCTCCTGGACCTCCTGAACCTATACTAACCTTCCGTATACTGTGTCCTGAAGAGAAGGTAGGAGCTGTCATTGGGAAAGGAGGATATATAATAAAGGGGCTCCAGCTAGAAACTGGTTGTGAGATTAAAGTTATGGAAGCTGTCCCTGACTGTGCAGACCGTTTGATAATTGTCTCTGGTTCAGTGGTATGGACTCTGGCACGTTCTTCTTTTTCAATTGCATCCTCGTGTTTTATTGGTTCAATCATTTATTTTTACTGGCAATATATTACCCTATTTTCAGGATCCAAATGGGAGGATATCAGCTGTACGAGATGCTGTTCTTCGTGTACATGCACGAATATTTAGGGGTGCACCTGATAACCAAGAAACCAAGACTGTCGTAACCAGGCTTCTTGTTTCCTTAAATCAAATTGGTTGTCTACTTGCTAAAGGTGGTTCAATCATGGCTGAAATGAGGAAGTCAACAGGGGCTTATATTCGTGTTCTACCAAAGGATCAGATTCCTAAATGTGCTTCAGAAGGTGAAGATGTTTTACAGGTGTGTGTTTTCTACACTTCATGCCAGCTTCAATCGCTGAGCTGTTTTCAATTGGTAGATTTTGCAGTTTTCTCCTTTTCATTGTTTCTGCGTTATTCCTATGGCAGATAAATGGGGTGTGTGAAACTGTACTGGAAGCACTTATGCAGATAACAACAAGATTGCAGCAGCATTTCTTCCGAGATGAATTTCCTTCTAATGGCCACCCTTCTTCAAATCCTGCATTTTTTGATCATCCTCCTCCACCATTTCCCCAATATCCAGGGAGGAGTGAACTCTCACCTCCATTTCATCTATTCAATGATGGCATAGGTGGCACCCCACCTCAACGTCTCGGTTTCCCTCCAACGGACAATCAATCTCCTTTCATGCACAATATTCACAGACCTGGTATGCTGCCACATATATCTGAACGCAACCCATGGGGTCCTCAGGTCATAATTCAGTCCTTTAAGCTGATTGTTTACTCCGTAGTTTGTAGGAAGTGTGTACTTTATGATCATTCTCCTTTGAGCACAATGTTCACTCCTCAAGTCAAATTGCTTATAGGGGCTCCCTGAAGGTGCTGCGCCAGTCGGCTTCCCAGACTTTCCTGTACCACCTCACAGAAGAATGCCGGGTTTTGGAGGGTATGGACATCAGAGTTCTTCCTTCCTTTAAAATCCTTTGTTTTGTACCATTTCATAATTCTTCCAGCTGTGTTCATCACAAGCTAAGAGGATCGTGTTTTGTTTGTTTGAAGGAGCCATGCCGCTATTATTACAAATACTAAGCTCGAGGTTGTTGTTCCACGTTCCATTGTCCCGATAATCTATGGAGAGGATGGAGCATGCTTGATGCAAATCCGGCAGGTATATATATATCTATATTTCACTAATGCCCGAGTAATTCCATTTTACAAATTGGATGGGTATTCAAATTCTGTGGTTGTTGTATCTCTTAACTTCTAATGTTTTCAATTGGATGTCAGATTTCTGAAGCAAAAATTACCATCACTGACCCAAAGCCCGGAGCAAGAGAGACCATTATTATCATATCTGGGACACCCGAACAGACGAATGCTGCTCAAAGTCTTATCCAAGCCTTTGTGATGAGTGAACACGAGTCTGCTTGAGCACTCCATTTCAACTTCCGTCAATAGAAAAAGTGAGTATGCCGTTAGATGCTTTGCCGGTTCATATAACATTTTAGAGGAATAGAGGGCACTGAGTGAGAAACAGGGGAAGATGGCATTATGACTCTTAGATTTAGGGAATCCAGGTGTAGTATTGCTGACATTTTTTAGGGCTAGTGTTGCTACCTTCTGACTGAAGTAATGCCTACCGAACTTAGCTTAGGTAATGTGTGCCGTAGTTTCTAGGATGGTGTGTATAGTGTTGTACTACTGCACACTTAGTACAAACTTGTGAGCTGAAGTTTCTCCCTTGATATTGTAATTACAATGAAACAATAGTCTTCTCATTTCCCGTAATACTTCTGGGAACATATGGTGTTAATGGAGTAAGTTTATCTTTGTACAAGTAGAAGCTCTGACAGAAAAAAAGGGTACAAAGCGATTTAATGCTCTGGGAAATACTAGGCACTGTAGCACAACCAAAAGAGTGCCCAGATCCTTTCCTCTCATTCCTAAGCACGAATTAATGGTGAAGGGTGAAGATAGTAAGTTTCTTTATTCTCCACTTTTGAAAGGTTGGTATATTTTCACAGACTGGATTAGGCCTTCCACAGATCCAGCCGCTGCAACAAGCGACACTGCCAGGCATGTCCAGCTCAATATTTTCAGCCATGTCCACGTGATGGAGAACTTGGGGATCTTGGCCCTGGCAATGTACATCTCTACGGGGAAATAGACGGTCAATGGCCAGAAGGATGCTGCCCCGATGAGCCCCAGAAAGTCGTTGAAGAATGGAAAGATCATCGCCAGGACTACTGTCACTACGACGTATGCAGACCTCCAGACGAGCCTGAACAAATTGAGGTAGAGCGTTCCCACGAATGGAACGGTGATGGGGTGCTCCCTCGTGATGAACTTGTTTTCCGGCCATTTCTTCAGGCAGCTGCTCTCCACAAAGCTGAATACGGGCTGGCAGAAGACCTGCAGAAAGCACAGAATTTAGTTCCGATGGTTTGACCAAGTGGATATGTGGATGGAGGAAGAAGGGTGTTGTACCTGGTAGGCGCCTACAAGGTGGATTGCTATGCAGATGTTAGCGATGTCGATCAACCAGAAAGGCTCGTAGAAGCCGAACCCGGTGAGGAAGTTGTCTGGGGCGTCGTTTCCAAATGCTGGGTAGCCGACGCAACCGCATAGGATGTAGAAAATGGTGGTGGTCGTGATGCCGGCAAGGCTTGCTCTTTTCATTGCCTTGTTCTCCGGCGGGCTTGATTTCAGGGTGTCCTGCAAGGCAATCGAGACTCGAGAGTATAAAGCCTTTAGAAGAAGAGACAAAAGGGGTCTGGGTCCTACAGATTGATTGGTAAAGACGAGGTGGCAGTCTGGGGTTTTTTTTCTTCTTTCACGGTAAGGTTGTTTGCTTCTGTTGGGCGAAGAGGAAGAGTCCAATTCATCAAATTCCACAGGTCCAAACAAAATCCTGCAAAGAAGATGGGCCGGCCCAAATTGCTATAGTGGATGGTGCATGGCGAATGTTTTTTGGCCTATAAGTGGAGTGGAGCACTTTTACTATGCTATATAGTATTGGCGCTTTAATATACAATTTGAAGTTGTATCATAACATTAAATGTATAAATTTAGAATGTACCATAAAGGAATTTGTATCATTATGTAATGGTACAACTTTACAACTTGAAGTTGTACCATCACATAAAGTACAAGTTTAAGTTGTACCATAAAAGAATTTGTACAAAAAGTATATGTACAATCTGAAGTTGTACCATAACATTAAAGGTACAATTTCAAGTTGTACCATAAAGATAAAAATCTATAGCACCAATGCTATATAGCATTGTAAAATTCCTCCTATCAGTAACAAAGCTAACTTGTAAAAGAAGGAAATTATATGTTCGAGGACAAGAGCAACTTGACAAGTCCCAATCATGAATCATATATAATGGCTTGATCTATTGTTTCTGGAATAATTGAGCAAACATGATCACATAAGTATTAATTAGACTATCTCACAAATCAATTGCTTCTGAAACTCTAACCACTAGACTTCTGACCACACCAATGCCTACCCCTACTCCAAACTTACCAAAAAAATCTACTTTTCCTACCCTCGTCCTTCAAAAACCTCAAAACCACCTTCCCTCTAATATACGTCCCCCATCTCCTGTCATTCCACCTGACCACCTACCCTATCCAAGGCAAGCAACAAATTGATCATATCGAGATGTAGCACACCCAAAGGAACAACTAAGAAGTTCATAGTCTTTCTCACACAAAATGTTCATGGTCATATCATCAAACTAACGTGGTCGGTGACAATAGTAAAGTACTCAAATCCGGTCCCAATATCATAGAAGCTCACACCATGATATGAAGGAAGGAAGCAAGGGAGGATTAGTTCCTTCTTCAATCGAAGAATGTGAAGAAGTATCATACTCTAAGTCATTCCTCGTGGTCGAATTCTACAAATGACATGGAGCATTCAATGCTTGTACTTCTTTGGAGACTCTAGCAGTTTGGTGTTCTGAGAAATTGGGGTGCTCGCAAATTCAACCATTGTCAAAGAACCCTAAGGGAACCTATAGAGAAGCAAAGTGAAGAAGAAGTTGGGTAAGAGGATGAATAACTTTGAAAGTTATAAGTGAAAAGGAAGGAAAATTCAAAGTAATAATGTGATCTCTTTTCCTTAATATGAAACAAAGGATAATCACCTCGAAATAATTATCCAACTAAAAGACACATTTTTAATTAGGAAGATAATTACCTTTCTTAACAAAAGATACTTATTCCCAATGAAAGAGAGAAAATTCGTGGTCTTCTACTCCTACAAATAGCAAATTCCTCGGACCCTCTAGATAGACAATTGAGAGAGTATAAACATGAGAGAGTGTTCTTCAATTGAGAGAGTGATTTGGGCACAAGCCGAGAGTAATATAAAGTAGTTGTTTTATCCTGGAAGCGATCGATGATAGTCTATTGTGCACAAAGATGGAAATGACGTGATTCGAGTCATTCTATTATATACATATTTTTACCCTCTTTGACTTGGTCGTTTGACTTGTATAACATCGTCATTGGAGCCTTTTGACGCTAGATTTGAAATGTTTTAGTAAGTTGCAGACTATAGCAGGTGAAATGGGCGAAATGATCAAAATTCGGACGAAAGGGATAAAAAACGGGACAAAGTGCTGGAAATTGCATGGATCACGATTTAGAGAAGATTGTCACAGGCATGCAACCGTGAAGTATACAGAAAAATCATAAAGTGTGCAAGGCTCTAGGGTCTTTCAGAAGTTTCGGGGGTATTGCAAGGATCACGGGCTAAGCGCGTGAAGTATATAACAAATCCGTGAAGTGTGCAAGTGAAACGGTATGTTTTACCCTGAGATCGAGGTTTCACTCCACACATCATGGGCGTGAAAGGTGACCGTGAAATGTGCATTGGCGGGCACAAAATGAAGAGGAGATCAAATTTCAAGGCATAAAAGTTTGAGAGTGAGATTGGTTTCTTCTTTCACATGCTAGAGAGAAAGCGATGAACCAAGGAATATTGGAGAGGAGTTTGACATACCCAAGTCATATTTCATCTTCAACACCATCCCAAGCAACTAGGAAGAAAGAGATTCATCATTTCATGGCATTTTCCTTCTCTTTAGTTGTAGTTCTTTCTTTAGTTACTGAGTAGATTTTCCTTTCACTTGGATTATGCGAACCCTAGTCTAGGATGTTGTAGATTGATGATTGTAAACTCTATGTTGTGATTGGGGTGTTTGATTATATATTGATTTATCACGAATATTGAGTGTCCTTGATCAATTCCCTCAATTTTGAGGCGAATTAAGCTAAGAGAGAGAAGATCTCCTTAAGGTATTTTGGATCACAATTCAATCATTGTAGAGAGCCATGAATGAGGGTGATTGGTTTGTTTCCGTCGTATAAGTCATCAGGTTATCGCCCGAGGGAATGGATTTGGTTGCCCTAATTTCCTATCCGATAATTCGGTACGCCTCTCATATTAGAGCAATTAGGAGAGCGGATCCCATGACTAAGGGGGGGTCCTTAGTCACTTGACTAAGCCCCTCCTAGCCATTAGATCTGGACACTTCAATCCAATGGTTAAAAAGTGGGAAGGGCTATTTAATTAATGACAGGGGTAGTTTGGGTATTATGAAAATTACGAAGTATACAAACCGGATTTACAATCAGTACAAACCATACAAACATACGAACAGTACAAACTAGAGCGACAAAACATACAAACAGATTTACAAACATTACAAACATATGAACTGTACAAACAATACAAACTAGACTGACAGACAACACAAACCATACAAAAAGAAAAAATAATCGGGTTGACTTTGGAGGCTCCATCCCTATATAGAGGGGCTCCTTCCCAAAGTCAACCCGGGTGTTTTTTAGACATACAAACAGTACGAACATGGTGGACAAAAATGACAAACTAGACCGACGATCCATACGAACTGGAAAAAACACCCGGGTTGACTTTGGAGGCTCCATCCCTATATAGAAAAGTTCCATCCAAAAGTCAACCAGGTTGTTTTTTAGATATAAAAAACATTACAAACATGGTGCACAAAAATAACAAAGTTTACAAACATTACAAAATAACAAAGCGTACAAACATTACAAAATATGTAAACAAACATCACAAAACCCTGTCGCCAGAAAATTCTTCTCCGCCGACGATGGTCGTCGGAAAAAATTTTCCGACCAGAAAATCTCTCTCTCTGCCACACCAAAAATGGTGGCTGTGGCCATGAACCAAAATTAAAAAGCCGCCGGCGCAAAAACGGATCGGGGGCAGGAGGGGCATCTCTCTCTCTGGGACGAACCAAAAAATAAATGGCAGGATCTCTCTATTGGCACCCACCAAAAAATAAATGGCAGTGGCAGGATTAATGGCAGGTGCACAACCACGCACCGGAAAAGCCTCGACCCGCCGGGAAATTTTGATCGGCGAGGAGACGGGTTGGTCGGCCGCCGGGAAATTTTCTTAGGGTCGCTGCTGTTGGATTTTATAATTATTAATTTTTAAAATTAAAATAATCATGAATCAAGTAATTACTACACTACCCTTCATTAAATTGAATTAATTAGAGCCATTGGATTTTAATGAACTTGAAAGGCTAAGATTGATTTAGGCAAGTGACCCCTTAGTCACCTGATCTTGGCCCAGCAATTAGGCGAGTTAGGACAACTCAAATAGGGACTCTTGATTCTTGACTAACTTTGATCTCCTAAAGGTATATATAATATGCAAATCACGCTAGAGTATCACGTCATCGTCTCAACCTGGGAAGAGGAGGATATTCATTCGGGTTAAGCCTTCTTACATGAATTCAACCTCATTTTACTTGTTTGTTTTTTAGTTTAAGAACTTTGTGAGCTAAGGATGATTTTATCAATTTGTGAACAATTTTCTTATCATTAGGTGTTAAGTAAATTATGAATCATTTTAACTAAAGTGAGTAAGTGTTGTATATATTAGTCTAGCATTCCATAGCATCATATATAATAGTATTCATGAACTATCGATTCTTCTATACTGGTAACCAATCTCTACGACAATTCCTAATCGTATTCCCACAAGTTATTTTGTTAGAATGTTATGAAAGTGGGTCTCTCCTTGCTTACCGAACTTTGACTAATCTCCCATTCTTCTTTAAGTCAACGTAGAATGATCATTCTACTTTCCACTTAATTCATTTTTTACATATTAAAATTAAAATCACCATAGATAGAAGATGACATTCGTGGTAGGTTTTAGTGGAAAAAATCCCACTGTACACATGTTCTTAAAAAAAATTCTCAAAATACCTAAGTTATAATTTTTTGGGCAATGTCTATTTTTTACCCAAACCTTTTTCAGATTCTTTTATTTTAACCAAACCTATAGAAATTCTATTTATTATCCAAACGTATTATAATTTATCGAAGTCTGGGCATTCATTCTGTTACCGTTACTTATTTCGTCCACGTGAGAGGTGGGATTTTGTTTTGTTTTTTGATAATTTTTTTATTAAAAATAGTAAATGATGGTATTCTGACCGCCACGTAGGAAGTCAACTCATTATGGTCATACTTAGTCAGCATTACTAACAGAAAAGTTGACGGAGAGTTAACGTTTGGATAATTTTTAGGAATTCAATAGGTTTGGTTAAATAAAAGAATCTGAAAAAGGTTTGGGTAAAAAATAGACATTGCCCTAA